TCTGTGAGCCCAATGGCACTGATCCACTGACTCAGCAATTCACGGGTCATTCCCTGCCAACGTGGAGTTTCCTGCCTTGGTCTCTGTCCTGAACATGTACCTGTGATGGTGGCATGGGCACTGTGAGCTTGGGATAAGGGCTGGAATTCCCTGTGTGCAGTCCAGGAGAGCAGAATTCGCTCTTCCCACCAGTCCCGCTCTTGTCCTTCCCCTCACTGAAGTAAAAGCCCCTGTGCTCACTGTTTCCAAAGCCTGGCACATCCCTGAGGCCTCAGAGCTTCCAGGAATTCATTACACAGGGCTTATTTTCTCCCATCAGGTGGATGTGGTTGGCTCAGCCGTAGGGTTGGGGCCGTTTCTCCCATAGGGAACCGAGGAACAGAAAGGAGAAGCGACTTCTCCAAGGTTCCACTGGCTGTAGGGTTTGGAGCTGGGAATGAAACAGAGTAGTGCAGACCCTGCCAGTAATCCCTACTTTAACCCCACCACATCCTGCAGGAACAAAGACAGGATGGAACAAAAGGCTTGGTAAGACGAGTCAGGCACTGCTGCTGAAAATATGGAGCCGTTCAAGCCAAACAGCTTCTGGATTCCAAATCCACCCCTAAATCCTGCCCTGGATGAGTTCCTTTGTACCTTCACCGTTTTCATGCCAAGCTGGGCTGCTGCCTCCAGGTTGTGGCTGCTGCTGTCGAGGACAATGGATTCCTGGGGCTGCACTCCCAGGCGCTCCAGGCACAGCCTGTAGATCCTGGGATCCGGCCGGCGAATTCCTTCCTGATGGGATTCAACCACCTACAGCAACACCAAATGGATTATGAATGAGCCTGCTGGGACCACAGACAGATGTGCAGTGTTGGGAATGGAGATGGGAGGGTGGGAAAGAGACTGCCAGCCTAATTAACACGAGGGATAAAGGACACGGAACGAGGGCCTGCAGCTGGATGGGACGTCATTCCAGTGACTGTGTGGGTGCCAACTGCCTTGGCTGTGGCTCTTCAGCTGAAATCAGCTGAACAGGATCAGCCAGTCCTTGGATGGAAGATATCCAACGAGATGTCCCCATGTGGGAGACTCGCTGGGTTTACCAGGCCAGTTGCTCAGTGCTGTCCAAGGAAGCCTTGGATGGCAGCACCTTCCAAAGGCTCCGGAAAAGTGTCCTGACCACTGCACCCACCAACCAACCCAAAGCAACCCTGACAGCAGCTCAGGTGTTGACCACAACCATCCACCCACATCTGGATCAAAACCCTGGTCTCTGAGCCCTCACAACCATCAGCAATCCAAGCAGTGTTTCCTCCCTGCTTTGATAACACTCCAGGAACAAAAATGAATCCACTGGATGGGCATGAAGCCAACACTAATGGCAATCCACATTCAGTTATTTTTTTCCCCACTAACTGCTGTTCCAAAGCACCACACACCACGTGGGCTGTGACATGGAGAGGTTATTGAAGTGCTTTGAAGCACCCTGGGATGGCAATCACGCAGACATCACACCAGAGCATCACCCCTCTGCAGCAGTGTCACCAGTAACACCCAGAAAGCTGAGCCAGTAATGGCATAATGTTGACAGGATGACTGTAAACAGTCCCAGGTTTTAAATGCATTAATGTGACTCTTCCTTGCATATTTTGTTGTCTTAATCAAGGTTATAAAACAAGCATTGAACTCCTGGAATTCAAAGATTTGAGCGGGGCACACGAAAAAAGCAAATTTGCTGTCATGCTGAGCCGAGTCCTCACGTGAAAATGATGCCACTGGAACCAGCCTCGAGGTTCACAGAGAATCTTCTGTGTCATCTCTGCAAAGGTGAGGGGTGCTGGGAAAGAGGGCTCTGCTGGGAGAGGGGTCTGTGCTGGGAGAGGAGACTCAGCTGGGAGAGGGGCCCTGCTGGGGTCTGTGCTGGGAGAGGGGTCTCTTCCTGCTCCTCAGCTCACACAGACTGGCATGTTAGAGTACTGGGGTTTTTTGTAGTGTAGGGGATGCTTTGCAATTCTTTGAAGAGCCCTTACTCTTTTAAAGCTTTTCTGTTTAAAGCAAGCAGGGGCACTGGGTAATAACATTCATTTTTTGTATGGTGTTCCAGCTTCATGGTCCTGTATTGAAATCACTGCCTGTGCCTGTTGCACACAGACTTTGATTTTCCAGAGTCACTCAGCCCCTCTCCAGGGCCCAGTCCCTGCAGTGAATGATGCCAGGAAAGGTTTTCCCAGGCTCCTACACTGCTGTCCACCTGCCTGCACCTGCTGCTGGTGCTGCTGGAAACGATTCCAGCTCGAGCCTGAGGAGCAGAGAGCCACGTTTAGGATCCAGCAGAGCCCCAGTCAGGGTCCATCCAGCCTTACCACGTCGAAGTGCCGTCGATCCAGGGGCAGGAAGCTCCCTCCCTTCCCCAGGCACGAGGTGTTGCTGAGCAGAGCTGTCTTAAGTCCTTGTGCCCGGACACACCGAGCTGCTTCTGCCATCGTGGGGAGCTGTTTCATCATCTCAGCCCGGATCAAGTCCCACAGGAAAGAGTCCACTGGAACACGGACATTTGCCTGAGAAAGCAGAGAAACCCCAGGAACGATAATTAGCCATAAATGGTTTTTAAGGAGGGATGAAAATAAAGAGTGGATGGGTGGGTAGGTGGCCTGATCATCTCATCTCGCTGTCCTGCTTCCTCTGGCAGCAGAAGGCAGGCAGGGATCTCTCAGCTTTGCCCACATAAACAAGTGTTCTCACAGTACTGATTCTGCAGAGGCAGCAGAGGAGATAAAGGGCTGATTTTGGGAAAGGGAAAGGCACTGGGATTTGTGCCTGCCATGGGATCAAGGCAGGGTAGAGACAAACACTGGCTGACTGCTCAGCAGGCAGGGGAGGAACCTGCAGTTTACACTGAGCTGTTTCAGAAGGATGTTATTCCAAGAGGATTCTTGCTCTGTGTCCCTGGGGCTTTGGTGGAGGAGCTTCTGCTGATCTGAGAACCATCCTGCCCATGGATGAACTGACTGCCAAAGCCTCTCAGCTGCTCCCTGACTCTGATTTCTCACCTGGGCTGATCCAAGAGCTGTCTTGAAATCAGAAAGTTACGAAAGAAGCTGATGGAAATTAAGGCAAACTCATCTGCATGCCCTGCCTGGGTACCAGGCTGATGGTGGCAGTGAAAATCTGCCCTGCTCAGTCAGCAAGGCTTCCTAGATGGAAAATCCAGACCTTTCCAGCACAGGATTTCTCTTCCAAGCTCCTCTTTCCTCACTGAACCACCACAGCATCCCGTTTCCATGCAGCCAGGAAGCACAAGGAGAGGAGGAGGGGGATTGGCTTACAATCTCAAAGCACTGCTGTCCCAGTTCCTGCAGGAACTCCACAGCTGTCAGCTCCCCTCTGGAATACCTCCGGGAGGGACTGTTCTCCCCTCCGGACAGCAGGGCTTGCTGGATGGTGCCAGCTGGAACACAACTCTGGGCCTCCCAGTCTACAGGGAGAGAAGTGAAAAAGCCAGGGAAGAGCATGGAATGGCATCTTCAGAACTGGGAAATCAGCTTGGAACCCTCCATGGTGGATCCACTGCCCACGAGGATGGATGTGCTGGACTGGAGTGACGGACCCAGCGCACAGGGAAGAGTTTGGGCATTCCAGGAACTGCAGCTCCCCATCCCTGATTTTGGTGTGGTGTCTTTGGAGGGTTCCTAAAGGTGCCCAAGGACTGCACCAACCTTGGGTGGTATCAGCTGGTGGCACCACAGGACAGTTTTGTTACCAGGTGGGGTCAGGGAGGGCACTGTCACCTCTATGATCTGTGATGGCACAACAGGTCCCATCCTCATCACCTGGGGTGTCTCACCAGAACCAGGGCAGGGTCAGGTTGGACCTCAGGAGAAGGTTCTTCCCCCAGAGGGTGGTTGGCACTGAACAGGCTCCCCAGGGCAGTGTCACGGCCCAGAGGCTGCCAGAGCTCCAGGAGTGTTTGGACAACGCTCTGAGGGACAGGGGGGGATTGTTGGGGTGTCCTGGGCAGGACCAGGGGTTGGACTGGACGATCCCTGTGGGTCCCTCCCAGCTCAGGACACCCCCTGAGCTCAGCACTGGAGCACACACACACCTGTGGCTGTGCTGGGGGGGTCTGGGAGCAGGACCCCGCTCTCCTCAAAGATCACGGCCCTGAAACGGCCCCACCTGCACCCGTGGCACCGGATCGGCCCCCGTGGGAGCTGCTGGATCCTGACACGGAGCAGGGCACGGGCACAGCTCCTCAGGAACATCCCGGGACACGGGGGGGGGCTCCAGGGAAACTCACAGCTAGCCTGGTCAGAGGAGAGAGAACAGGGCACGGACAGAGAATCAGAGGGGTGAATGTTTGTTTATGGAATCGTTAGGATAGGAAGAGACATCCAAAATCAGTGCAACCTCTGACCAAACCCCACCAGCCTCACTCATCCTTATGGCCGAGTGCCACCTCCACTCGTGTTTCGGGGACTCGGGGACTCCACCCCGGGCAGCCACTGAGCTGTTCCCTAATGACTGACACACACTAATTGCTAATCGGTAACTGGAGCGGGTGGGGCTTCCAGGGAACGGGGACAGAAGGAAGCAGCCTCAAGCTGCGCCAGGGCAGGTCCAGGTGAGGCATCAGGAGGGATTTCCTCACGGAAAGGGAGGTCAGGCATTGGAAGGGGCTGCCCAGGGAGGTGGCGGAGTCCCCGTCCCTGGAGGTGTCCAAGGAACGTGCTCTGGTGACAAGATGGTGCTGGCTCCCGGGTCGGCCTCGACGCTCCCGGGGCTCTTTCCCACCCCGAATTCCCGGGATTCTCCCCAGCCCCGGCCCCGCCGCTCCGGGGGCTGCCCCGTCTCGCGAGAACATACCCGCCTCTCGCGAGACCCCCGCGGCCCCTCAGCCCCCTGTCTCGCTCCGCCGCTGCCGGTGCCGGCCCCGCCGCCGTGACGTGAGGGCGCGGTGACGTCACGCGGCGAGCGGCGCGGCGGAGGCGGAAGCGGCGGCGGCGCCGGTGCCGGTGCTGGGCCCGTGAGCGTGTCCCGGTGCTGATCCGCCCGGAGCTGAGCCCATGAGCGTGTCCCGGTGCTGATCCGCCTGGAGCCGGGCCCGTCAGCGTGTCCCGGTGCTGGTCCGCCTGGAGCCGGGCCCATGAGCGTGTCGCTGGTCGTGATCCGCCTGGAGCTGGCCGGGGCCTCCCCGCTGCCCAAGGCCTTCGCCTACAGCGCGGCCGGTGCGTGCCCGCGGCCCCCCCGGGGCGCCGCCGCTACCGGGGCCCCGCGCCGCCCGCCCGGCCCAACGCCCGGTTTGTGCCCGCAGGTCCGGACATGGCAGCGGAGAGCACCGGCGCGGCCCCCGCCGCCGTGCCCGCCTGCCTGCAGGGGAAGGGCCCCGGGGAGCGCGCGGCCATCCTGCACCAGCACCTGGGGCGGCGGGAGATGACCGACGTGATCATCGAGACCATCCGGCCCCGCGCAGGTACCGAGCGACGGCGGCTGGGGCTGTCCCGGGGCTGTCCCCGGGCTGGGGGGCTCGAGGGGGCTGCGGGGTTTGCGGGTCTGGAGCCGGCCCTGCAGTTTGGAAAACAAGCTGAGGAGTTCAGGAGTGTGCGCTGGGTGCGGGGGCAGAGCTGGTTGATCCTGGCGAACACTTCCCACTGAGCTCATCCCGATCCACACCTTCCTCAGGACGGGCAGCTCCTCTGCTCGGCGTGAGCAGAGACAGGACCAGAGGGAACGTCTGGAGTTGTGGCAGGGCAGGGTCAGGTTGGATCTCAGGAAAAGGTTCTTCCCCCAGAGGGTGGTTGGCACTGAACAGGTTCCCCAGGGAATGGTCACAGCCCCAAGGCTGCCAGAGCTCCAGGAGTGTTTGGACAACACTGTCAGGGACAGGGTGGGATTGTTGGGGTGTCTAGGCAGGGCCAGGAGTTGGTCTGGATGATCCTTGTGGGTCCCCTCCAGCTCAGGATATTCCCTGATTCACTCCACAGAGGTTTAGTTCCTTCCAGGCTGTGCCACAGCTGGCCTGTGTTTTGCTCCCCAGCATTGCTGGTCCGTAGCAACGAGACCATTTGCTCTGTAAACATTTGCTCTGTAAATGTTTCGTTTCCCTGGCAGGGAGGGATTTAAGGATGGGAACACCAAGTCTGACACACATCCAGGTTGCACAGCAGGATCTCCCACTTCTCCCCTGCTCAGCAAAGCTGTCCCAGTTGCTTTGTGCTCATACTGGTGCCTGTTGGGATGTCACTGGGCACGGGACAAACCTCCTCCAGCTCCATCCTGGGGCTCCCACGGGGTGTCTGTAGCTCTGGAGTGTCCCTTTCATCCAGCAGGGATGAGGGGAATCTCATCCTGCTGCTCCCCAGAGCTGTGCTTTGTGTGAACACAGACTGTGCTCGGGGCACAGCAGCACCTCAGTAACCAGGAAACTCTTGGTTTGTGAAAGATGAAGCCAAAGCTGCCGTGGAAGGAAGGAAATCCTCGGAGGCTGCGTCTGCTGAGGACAAAACCAAACAGGAGGAGCAGAGCAAGGAGTGCGAGGCTGCTCCAGACTCCCCCTCCAAGCAGCTCCCTGACCAGATCTCCTTCTTCAGCGGGAACCCCTCGGTGGAAATCGTGCATGGAATTATGCACCTGTACAAAACAAAGTAAGGGTGGATTCCTGGGAAGGGTGAGTCTGTCACCCCGGGGCTGTGGCTCCTGACGGGGACAAACAGGAAGGGTGACTCCTCCTGGGAGGGCACAGCCTGCCTGGGGTTGATGGTGCAGCTTGGGTGACACAGCTGAGTGGGTGACACTGGGGGCATTGGGAGCCTGTGCTGGGGGCTGTAAGAGCTCAAGACAAACGCAGATTCCAAAAAAAATGTCGTTTGAAAGCAGCTTCCTGAGGGATCCCACGAGTTAATCGTGATCTCTGGTGCCTTGGTGACAGGCCTGAGGAGCTGCCTGAGGAGCAGGAGGTTTCATCCTGTAATTCCACTCCATTCCCCTCTAATTGTGTCAGAACTCCCATTTCAGGTCTTCCTGGAAGCCACCAGGAGTCCCCAAAAGGGCACTGGAAATAGTAACAAATGTTGCTCACTTGTTCTAGGAGCAGTGCTGAGCACCTGGGGCTGGGCAACTTCAGCTGCTTTTGTAGAAGAACAGACGTTCAATCATTCCTGGCAATCCCATTGCTGTTGGAGCTGCCCAGTTCAATCCTTGGCTGAAGGATGGCTGGGCCTGTTCCACGTGGGGGGCCCTGGGCGTTCACCACAACCCCTCTCAACACTTACAGAAGAGAGTTAAGGTTGATAACAGCTCCTGTAGTGACTGCAGCAGTTGGAATGGTGTGTCCAGCTGTGCTTTTCCCCACCCTGAGGTGTCCCTGTTGTGTCCCCAGCAAGATGACCTCCCTGAAGGAGGATGTGCAGCGCAGTGCCATGCTCTGCATCCTCACTGTCCCGGCCACCATGACCAGCCACGACCTCATGAAGTTCGTGGCCTCCTTCTACGAGGTGATTGAGCACATGAAAATCATCAGAGACTCCACCCCAAACCAGTACATGGTGCTGATCAAGTTCAGCTCACAGGTAAGAGCTGGGAGCCCCTTGGCTGGGCTGTCACTGTTCAGGGGGTCTGTGTGGCTTCACTGGTCAGATGTCAGCCAGGATTGCACTCACCCACGGGGAAACAGCCTTGTCCCCGTTCCCTGGGAATTCCCAGGGCTGCTAAGGTCAGTCCCACACCTGGAGGAGAGTACCTGCCTTGTTCTAGCTGTGATTTTTCTTGGTTTTGTTCTTGCTTTGTCTTGGCAGGATATTTTATTAAAAATAGCCCAGACACAGAGTTCTCTGCTGTCTCACAGCTTACTCAGAGGGGTGTGTTGTGCTGTGCTGAACTTAAAGGACCCAGCCACTGGGGCTCCCTGTGTTTTAGGAAAGACCTTTCCTGCTTTTCTGAGGAGCTGGGTGGTCTCCCAGCCACTGCCAGTATGGAGAGGACAGTCACCCCCAAACTGAGAGCCCTTGGGGTGCTTTGACACCCACATAACACAGTTTGCTGCTTACAGGTCTCCTGAACTGTGTGGCCTTAAATTCCCCCCTCCAGTTCCTGTGTGGACCCTTCCACTTGTACATTCTCCTCTCCCAAATGCTAATTCCATATTTTGGGGTTCAGGGAGAGGTTTCCCCCAGCTGTGAATGCTGCCTGAGATGCTTCCCATGCCCCTTGTGCACATGGAATATTTGTGTGAGTTTGTGCTAATTGAAGTAGTTACAAAGTTGATTTTTGTCCCTTGCTGTACCACATTATACAGGCAAATATCTAATGCTGCAAATCCCTGAACTTGTGTTCAATTCACCCTGAAATTCCTGTTTCTGAGGGAATTCCTTGGAGCTCTGTTGACCCCTAATGGCTGTACCTGCAGGTGGCAAAACAAATCTCCAGGGCCTTGATGCTTCTGGCTGGAATGACCAGGAGTCTGGGAATGTGGCATTCAGCTCATTGCCTCAATCCTGTGTTGAGAAAGGGTTTGGGGAGTTACTGAGTGCAAAGGGATGATGGATTTGACAGGGTTTGGTTTGGTTCTGCCTCTTTTGCCTGGACTGTGGGTGGTGAAATTGACTCTTTCCCACAGTTAAACTGCTGCTCCTTTTCCTGTCATCACCGTCCTGCACCGCGTCCCTCTTCAATTTTTGCAGAGGCCAAATCTGCTTTACAAATGCCCTGAAATTGCTGACAAGGGGCAAAACAGATGCTGAAGGGAAATCCCTCATTCCTGCTGAATGATCCCATATCAGCATAGCTGTCACTGCCCTGGACTTCACTTCGTGTCTTCCAGTGGTGATGCCAAAATGCGGTGCCTGGAGCCGAAATCCCTCCCCTGGTGTTACAGGGCTGGATGAGGGGAGAAGGGAGGATACAGGAGGTTCCTCCTCCTCCTCCTGGGTTGTGTGAGCTGTGAGTTTTCCCTTTTTAACTGGTTTCCCCTGCTCTGTGCCCAGGCTGATGCCGACAGCTTCTACATGGCCTGCAACGGCCGCCAGTTCAACTCCATCGAGGAGGATGTTTGCCAGCTGGTGTACGTGGAAAGGGCTGAAGTCTTCAAATCAGAAGATGTAAGTTTGGTCTGTTTTTTTCCCTGCACTTCTGAGGATTTTAAGAGGGTGATTTGGACTGGGCAGAACACTGCAAGAACAGCTCAGCTGCATCAACCCAAACCCTGCTTCCCGTTCCAGTGTCCTTGGGAGAGTGTGTGATAATTCCATGGGTTTTATGCCTTGTGTCTGACCTAAACGTGCCTTGTGTTGTCATTTAGTGAACCCCCAGAGCACAGTGGGGCTGGTGGACCTTCACTGTGCCCGTGCTGTGCAGATGAACGTGGCTGTGGGCTGTTGAATGTTGGGGATCACTTTATTTCAGATAAATTTCTCCCCGCCGCGCGTCGCGTTTGCGATCGCTGGCGCCAGCGAGAGAGAAGCTGGGCTTGGTTGCCGGTGCTTGGCAGGTGCTGAGCAGTCTGTTGTTGCCTTGCAGGGGGCCAGCCTGCCCGTGATGGACCTCACAGAGCTGCCCAAGTGCACCGTGTGCCTGGAGAGGATGGACGAGTCGGTGAACGGGATCCTGACCACGCTGTGCAACCACAGCTTCCACAGCCAGTGCCTGCAGCGCTGGGAGGACACCACGTAAGGGGCTTTGCTTCGTTCCCACACCCAAAGCCTGCTCTGAGCGGGAGGGGTTTGTGCTGACAAGGCACTGCTCCTCAGAGTGGGGGCAGGAATTACTGCAAGGCCCGATGCTCTTGTTTTCCCATTAAGAGACTCCCAGGGAGGAATCTCCTTGCCAAAAGTAATTGAACAATGATTCCCGGGGGCCTCGCTGCTGAGGCAGGGAGGGAGTTGTAGAGTAATGCTGATTATTTCAAAATACAGGATAAAAGTGCTGGGGTAAACAGCACTGAGTGCACACACAGCCCTCCTCACTCAGCACTGTCACTTTGGTTATCCCTAAAAAAGATGGATCTGCACACCTGCCTGGAGCTGAGGGGCCTTTTGGGCAGCCCTGCAGGTTTCTCTCCTGCCTGGATGCTGGGAGGAGAGGAGGAGGAGCTGGGCAAGAGCAGGTGTGCAGGGAGACAGGACTGGGAAGGGGAAGGCAGGGAAGGAAGGAATGATGACAAGGTCACTCAGTAAATCAGGCAGGGGAGGCTCCACACAGGCTGTTGTTCCAGGTGGGTGTGGGATGAGGGATGGGGGGCCATGCCCTGTGTGTGGAGACCCTCCATGGCACTGGGCAATGCTGGGGGTCAGACCTGAGTCTGTCCTTAAAGCAGCTCCTCTTGCTGCCTTAACCCTTCCCTGTTCATGCTCCCACCAGCCCTCACATCCCTGGGGAGGGGATTTCAGCATTCCTGGAGCCTCCAGCTGGCACCCAGTCAGCTGCTCAGAGTTGGACACGTTTTGTATTCCTCTGGACACTGCTTGCTGCACCTCAGGCAGTCACAGCTACTGCAGCAGGAGGCTGCACATCTCCCCTGTGCCTGCTCTGTCCCTGGGACCCTGATGCCTGATTCTCTGATGGACTGTGAGGAAGATTTTGCCTCTCTGTCCATCACTCGTGAGCCAAAGCAGCAGAACCCCAGTGCCATTGATCAGATGTGTAGCTGTGCAGGCTGATGGGCTGCTTTGCTCATAAATCAAAACCAGTTTAAATCTGAAGCAATGGAGCTTAGCCAGTGCAGGGGCAAGATCCAAAACAGCACTTAAACATGTACTATACAATTTAAGTAGAACTTATGCTCCCCATCTCAAAGAACCATAAAGGAAAATCCCTGTCCTTGCTGAGGCGCCACAGAGGCTGTAAATGCCTGAATTTGCACAGAAAGCTGACTGCAATCCAGTTGCCTCCTCCCTGGAATAGTTCTGTGGCTTATCCAGCAGCTAATGAAAAATACATAAACAGTCCTGGCAGCAGATGCAACCTCAGCTGCCCCGAGCTGAGCTGAGCTGCTGGTGCTCCGGGTCTGGACAGGTTCCTTCTGCTCTTGGGTGTTCTGGCAGCACTGAGGTACTTCCAAAAGGGATGAGAGACCTCTTGGATCTTTGGTGGATCCAAAAGGAATGCCTGCTGCTGATTCCTTTAGGGTACAGTTATGGGGTGTTCTGCCTGGGAAGGCTGAGACCAAATCCCTTGGGTTGGGGTGGAACTGAGGCATCTCCTCAGGGTTGTTCAAGCACTAAGGTGTGTTTGTGGAGTGTCACTTGGCTGTTCTCAGCAGGGTGTAGCTACAACATGCTCATGTTTGCAGATGTTCTTTGTGCTTGGACTGCAGCTAAGCCAGATCCAGCTGAACCTGTGAAATGGCTTTGGGAGAATTGTTCTTTGTTCTTTTGTCCCTCACCAGCCTAAAAGCAGTGACCTTGTGTGGAATGGAGGTCGATTTGAGTGGGTAAACGTGAACTGAGAGATGGGGGATACAGGGAGCATCCCGCTGCACCAGGCATTCCCTGGAGCTCTCTGGCTCTGTTTAATTCCTGGAAGATGAGGATGGAGCTCCCTGTGTCTCATCACGATGCTTTATTGCCCCCCAGGTGCCCTGTCTGCAGGTACTGCCAGACACCAGAGCCCGTGGAAGAGAACAAGTGCTTTGAGTGTGGAGTTCAAGAAGTAAGTAGGTGGGTGGATGGTGAGCGAGATCTAGACTAGATCTGACTGCACAGCTTCTTGGGTTGCTTTGGGGGGGTAATTCTGTGGCTGATTTTACCAGTCAGGGGGTTATCAGCTTCCTTTTGAGTTGTCTCCAGTGAGCAAGGACCCCCTTCTCTTTGGCCTTCCAGAGGAGCAGGAAAGGGAAAGCAAACCCTGCTGGTTCCCTGAGGGAGGGACTGCACAGCAGCAGCAGGGCATCGGGAGTGGGATCACACTTGCCCAGGGTGCCCCGGGTGACTGTGCTGTACCCACAGAGCTCTCCCTGTGTTGGCAGAACCTGTGGATCTGTCTGATCTGCGGGCACATCGGCTGCGGGCGCTACGTGAGCCGCCACGCCTACAAGCACTTCGAGGAGACCCAGCACACCTACGCCATGCAGCTCACCAACCACAGGGTCTGGGACTACGCTGGAGGTGAGAGCTCCCCGGCCCTCCTGCGGGGCCACCTGGCTTGGGGACAGCTCTTGGGACACCTTAGGAAGAGGAGCTGAGGCAGAGTTTGCCTGGAGATGAAGGAGTTTATGTCTGCACTACTCCCTGTCTTTTGGGAACATCCATCTCTGCTCTTAGAGCAGCTTTAGTGGGTCTGGAGCAGATGGAGGAGGGAGAACATGACTGGAATGTGTTTGTCACTCCCTTTCTGTCCGTTTTCCCTGAGGTGTGGGAATGGGCTGTTGGAATAAATACCCTGTGAGGTGCCTGGGAGAAGAACAAGCCCATGTGAGGTTGGCTCTGGGCCTCCCCGAGGTGCTGGTGCAGAGCCTGGGGGGTTAATTGTGCTGCAGGACTGGGGGCAGCCTGGGTGCCCCTCAGCTCCAAGTGCTTGGATCTCCTCTCCTCAGACAACTACGTCCATCGGCTGGTGGCCAGTAAAACTGACGGGAAGATCGTTCAGTACGAGTGTGAGGGGGACATGTGCCAGGAGGAGAAAATTGATGCCTTACAATTAGAGGTAAATATTTTGACGTGCTGGGCTCTTGTGTGGGGAAGGGTTTCAAACCCTGACACGAGCACGGTTCAATCCCCATCAGCTTACACAGCAGACCTTGCTCCCTGCCTGTAGGGAATCATCTCCAGGCAGGAGCAGGAATGGCTTTACTGCTTTTTTTTCTCCTTTTTCTTTCCTTTTTTTTTTTTTTTTAAAACCTTCCCTGGCTCTGCAGAGCTGATGCAGCGCCGTGTGAGCTGCAGTGTCGTCCTGTGGTCACTGGATTGAAGATGAGCTGGTTGTGCTGCTGCAAACACTCAGGTCACTGGATGGAGAAATGGGTCTGAGTCGCTCCCCAGACCCTTCCCAGTGGATTTGTGACAGGGGTTCAGAGCCAGGATCTGTGTGGAACTGTCAGTTTAGCTCCTCAACTGAACCAGGCTGTAGGAATCCTTGGCCGGCAAAGCTGACAGGCTTGTCTGACACCAACCCTGTTCTGTTCCCTCCTTTTGAACAGATAATGATTTATTTATTTTCAGTACCTGTTGCCCAGCTTCTCTCCTAACTAAAGGAGAAATGCCTGCTTCACTGAGCAGGCACTGCAGCACCATTTCAGCCGCATTAGACACGAGGGGATGTGAGGAGGAACAGCCCACAGGGACCAGACTTGAGCAGCTCATTGCTCAGATAAATATTTGGTTGCTTTTCAGTGAATTTTCTGAATAACACTCAGATGCTAAACCAGCTAATTTTAACCCTTTTTTCTGGGAGGTTGTTGCTTAAAGCATGTAAGATCTCTCTGTCTTATGAGATCTAAATATTTGAGAGAGAATGAATTTGGCAGTGCATGTTGGCACTCAGAAATTACTGAGAGTGATCAGGGCTTTGTGCATGTTTAATTCTGCAGTGAATGGCTAATTTAGTGCTTATTAGCCTGATGGTAAGAAATGATCAGGTTTTCCAACCTTCTCATAACTCATTTGCAGAACCAGCAGGGAAAAGATGGCATAGAAGGCATCTATCCTCGTTCAGATGCCAAAATGACATTGGAATGGGCCATCCATATTGGAGATTGGGAATATTTACACAGAGCTGAGGGTGCTTTGCCAGAGACCTTCTTCTAGGGAAGCTGGGCATGTGCATTGACCCTCCTGCCTTGGATTTGGGGCTGTGAATGGGAACTCTGCCCCTCAGCCTTTGGGATCTCAGACTCTCACGACAGGGTTGGGTGAAGCTTCATTTTCTTGTAGAGATTTATTGCTACTCCCACGAAAACAATCTGTCTCCTCCTTCAAAAGTTCTTACCTTGATAATGGGTTCAGCTCAGCGGAACTTTCACTTGATCCTCGTGCTCTGAAGGCTTTCCTTGACTTCAGAAAAAACCCAAGTGATTTGATTGTGAAATCAAACCAGTGAAACCTCCAGCATCAGCTGGAGGTGCAGCTGGGATGCGTGTCCAGAACCTTCTCTCTGCTCAATTTCATCTGATTAAATTGATTTGGGTATTGGAGGCCTCTGATCAGCACAGCCCCCTTGACTGCTCTGTGTCCCTCCTGTGTTTGTAGTACTCCTATTTGCTGACGAGCCAGCTGGAATCCCAGCGGATCTATTGGGAAAACAAGATTGTCCGGATAGAGAAGGACACGGCTGAAGAGGTGAGCTCTGCCCCGGGCAGGTGTGCAGGGCCCTGGACACTGGGAAATGGGAGAGGGAAGGAGCTGCTGGGTCCCTGGTGTGTGACGTGGCCTCGCTCAGCCTGCCCTGCTCCCAGCTGGGAAAATTGGCTCCGGGATGCGTGTGTCCCTCCTCTGGCTGCTCGCAGCCAGCAATTTGCTGCTCAGTGGTGCAGAAGCAGGTAGATTGCACCGAGATTGAAGGGTGATTTAAATGTGCTGCTGGGGAAACTGCAGCAGAGGGGAGGGCAGCCCGTGGTGCTGCAGGATCCCGGGCTGCCGGTGCCATCCGTCTCCCTGACACGGCTCTCCGGGGAAGGTTGGTGTAGCAGAGACAATATGACTTTAATTTGCTCGGCTGCAGGAGGTGGGAGCTGTCTCTCTGCTCCAAATGCATATTGATTTGCCCTTTCTTTTTGATCCCCTCTCTCTCTCCACCTCACCCTTTGGGAAAAGTTCAGTCTCCTCCTCTAAAGCATCCTGGAGGCAGGACTGCTTCAAAATGTCACCGGCAAAAATCCGGCGAGGATATTTTACTGCTTTTTCACTCTATGTAGATCCTTTGAAGTAGGTTTAAAGTGAGTCAGGATTTAGAACTGAGTCCTTAACTTAACTTTCCACATGACTTCTAATTGACCATTTAGTACCTGCAGTTAAATAAACACAGAAATTGTGACCATTGAAATAGTGGTCACTGACCTTGTCCTAAAGAACAGTCCTGGGAATCTTAAGGAGAACATTATAGAAGGAAAATATATATCAAAAATAATCTTGCACAGAAACATGATCCACCAAGAACTTCAAAGTGAAATGACTCTGATCCATTCCCCAAATGTGGTTTCACAATTAAAGATCCCAACAGTTTTATTCATGGCACTTGCTCCGTGTACGTCTTGTCTGGATTGGTGCCACCATGCAGTGTTATTCCATTATCAGTGCTCAGGCTACTTCCCCAAATTACCCATCAGCTGCACAAACATTCCCTGATTAGGGCTGGAAGGCTTAAAACCTGCTCTGCATCCATTGAGGCAGCAGTGGCTGCACTGTGTGTGCTGACACTGAGATGGCTCCACATTGCTCCTCCAGGAAAGCACTTTTCCTTTAAATTCCTGCCTCCACTGCACCACAGCGTGCTGTAGACACTGATATGGAGGAATCAAGTATTCCTGACTCTAAATCCCCTGGAAGTGTCGTCTTGGGGGTTTGACACGCTCAGTGCTGCACCTGGAGAAGGAGAGCTTGGCTTTGTCCAGCAGCAGCACCTGGAGTGGGGCAGCAGAGGAAGAGGAAGCCGAGAAAGGAGTGTTTGTGTTTGTGTTTTGCATGAGTAAGATATTGGTGTCAGTGGGTCACTGCCTTATGACAGCACTGCTGAGTCAGTGCTGAGCAGGGGAGCCTGTTCATCTTCACACTTTGACCACATTTCCTCGAGGTTTGGTTTGAAATGAGCAAAAACCCGGCCTTGTAACACCTTGAGGTGGAAATGTGAGTTTGCTGGTGGAGCCAGAAACACGAGGGAAGGGCTGAAGGAATGGCTGCTGCAGGCAGGGAGAAGTTCAGGATCTGCTGCAGCCTTTGTGTGATCCTGGCACAGCTCTCAGCCCGAGTTGCTGCTCTGTGTGAGCAGCTTCCACGGCAACGTGGCTCCTTGTCTGGGCTACCAGTGGGACACTGGGGGGTCTCTCCAGCAGAACAAAGCCTGGACTCAGAGCTCCCCTCACCTGGGGAGAGGAGCTGGCCAAAGTCTGGAAACCGCTCCAGAGAAATGAGCGTCCTGACGAAAGTGCAGCGGACTTTGAGCTGGTTGAAATGCCTGTGTTTGTTTTTACAGATTAACAACATGAAGACCAAATTTAAAGAGACCATTGAGAAGTGTGACAGTCTGGAACAGCGGCTCAATGACTTGCTCAAAGAAAAGCAGTCTGTGGAGAGGAAGTGGGTACCGCTGCCAGGTTCAGTTCCAGGCAGCCATTAAAGTGCTGCACACTGCCATCCAAAAAGGAAAAAAATCCTGCTATTCCTGGGCAATTCTGAGCTGTTTAAGCTGGAATACTGAGAACATGGCTTGCTTTAAAAAAAGCTCTGATTTCTGTAGGTGTTCCCAAAGGGGAAGTGCCTGTTTTGTGAGCAGCTTTGGGGTTCTCAGCTCCTTTTACACACTCTGCATATTTAGCACTCGGGGATCCTTCCTCTGCCTGCTCCAGGGTTCCTTCCTCCCCTGCTCTGAGGTAGATGCCAGCCTGTCCTGCCATTGGCAGATGCATCCAAAGGGATGAGAGGCAGCTCAGCAGAGGCACCACCCAGCACAGAGGAAAATGGAGATCTTGGGAATGGCCCGGAGGAAGGATGTCAAGCACAGGGACTGGGATCCATGTGCTCCAGCCCCCTGGGTGGGACTGTGTGCCCCGTTCCTCCCAGCCTGGCCAGCAATCCTGGCTGGAGCAGGGAGCCCAGGCCAGGGAGGTGGGGCAGTGCAGCTGCCCTTGCTGGGTGGGAAGGGGTTGCTGTAGGATGCCAGCAAACTTCCAGGGTAAAAGCAGTGAGTTGTTGGGAGCAGGAAGTCTGTGAATCACAAGGCTACTGATATCCTTTTGGGAGCATCTCACTTCCAAGTGAAGTGGCATCTTCAGGGTCTTGGAGTGTGGCAGGAGCCAATGTCTGGGGGTCCCTGACTGCCCTCAGCTCTCTGAGGGTCCTGTGTAATCTCTGTGCCCTTTTTGGGACCCGTTCCAAAAGCTGCAGGTGTGTGCTCTAGGTTAGTCCCATCTCCCAAACATCTCCCTGTTGCCTGCACTGTTGGCATTTGGCACGAGGTGGAATTGCCTGACTGCCCAGAGAAGGGATTCTCCTGAGTTCTGCAGTTAGGGAAGGAATTCTGCCTCACAGCATCCTGTTCCATGTGCAGGTACCACCCAGGTGCTGCACAGAGAATCCTGGGGGCGTGGCAGAGTCTTTCATTGCCTTCCCTTGCCCAGAAATCCAAGCTGCAGGTGCTCTGGGGGGCTGGGGGCAGTTGCCCAGTACAAAGGCTGCAGTGGGGTTTGGGCTGGGAGTGCTTCTCTCCTGACTTGTGCTTCTCCTTCCAAGGTGTTCCCAGCTGAACAACAAGGTGGCAAAACTCTCCAACGAGCTGAAGGAGGAGCAGGAGCTGAACAAGTGTTTGAGAGCAAACCAGGCCTTGCTGCAGAACAAACTGAAGGAGGAGGAGAGGGTGTTAAAGGAGACCTGTGAGCAGAAGGACCTGCAGATCTCCGAGATCCAGGAGCAGCTGCGGGATGTCATGTTCTACCTGGAGACACAGCAGAAGATCAACCACCTCCCGGCCGAGACCCGGCAGGAGATCCAGGAGGGACAGATCAACATCGCGGTGGCGTCTTCTGCCAGCTCCTCCACGGCAGGCACAGGCAAACCTTCCTCCAGGAGAGGCCGTGGCAAGAGGGGCAAATGAGCCTGGGAATGCTCCGCTCCCACCCTGGAACTGGCCGTGCCGGCGTGGGCCTGGCTCACCTCGGGACTCCGGCTGGGAACGCCCAGCCCACTAAAGCTCAGCTAGAAATTGTCTCCAGAGCTGCTCATAAAACTGGCTGCCAGTCAGTGGAGGTGTCTGTGGTATTTAAAAGCATTTCACTGCACTATTTAGCTGTTTTTAGGCAGATCTTGATGACCATTTTGCCTTCCCACCTTTCCAGAGCCCTTCCTGTCACGCATTTGACTTCCTTGGAGAGGGTTTTGGGGTGGGGAGGGTGTGTCCATGTCAAACATCCCATTCCCTGCAGGGATGCTGTAGAGTAGGCTCAGCCCAGTGTGTAAGGCTTCTCCAGTTCTTCTCCTGGATTAAAAGTATTCTCAATTAAGAAATTATTTAATAAACAGTGTAAATTAGACTATATACATCTCCTTTTTGTATGGGCAGTCGTGGCACTGCAGAACTGCTAGTGCAGGAGTAGAACTGTAGTTTGGAAATAAAAAGGAGTGAGGTGTGGAAAATAAACCATCTTAGTGGTGTAAGAAACCAGGTGAGTCCTAAAGGCTCGTGATCTGGGAAATTAAATGCTTTAAGGGACTTTGCTATGATCTCTTTCTTCATTTTACAGGTGGCCTTTGGGAGACCAGTGCTTGCTGTGCTGCCTTTGGGGCAGAAAGGGTGGAAGTTTTGTGTTCTGGATGCTGTTTAATATTATTTTATAGGTATTTCTCCAAATTAAATCGAATCACCTGTGAAGATGGGAACGTGCTCCCAGCATTCCAGTCCTCTTGGAGCAGGGGGTGTGTCCCCTCACTGGGCTGCACTGGGGATGTTGGTACAAGCTCCAGAGCTGTTACCCTCAAAAGCAGATGAGGAGAGGGATGAGCTCAGCCTTTTACAAACTCTCTTCCCACATTCCTGTAGCTGCCAGGCCGGGTCTGTGGCAGAGCTGGATGTGCTGCCCACCCCTGGACCCTTGCTGTGAGCTGCAGCTGTTCCCAGTTCCTCTGATCCTGCTCCCAGAATCTCAGCTGGCAGCACTCCCGAGTCGCTTGCCCCGAAGGTAGGCAGGTCCTGTAAGGGGAATTGGTGGACAAACCTCTTTTGCTTTGGTTTTTATGTTGGTTTTCACGTAGATGCTCAGACTGGATGCTCTGGGGTGGGCAGCTTTCCCCTGGCTGGAGAAGTGACTGTCCTGGTGGTTGTTGTGCTCAGAATGGGAGTGTTTAAAGGCTGATCTGTTGTCAGAGATGGCAGGGCAGTCCCACAGTTGTCTTTCCAGCCCATAGGATGATCCCTGTCCGTTGGAACAATCATGATCTTAGTGTGGGACACTGAAACAGCTCTGGCTCACCAGCTCCAGCCTGGACACAGACATGAAACAGCCAGTCCTTTTTTGCTGGAGGTGGTTCTTTTTTTGGCCAGTTGAAAGGGATGAGTTACAATCAATCCATGGAATGACTTGGGAAAGGCAGGTCATTCCAATCCACTTCCTGACTGGATGGACTGGAAGTGTGGAATTTCCTCGCTGGAAATACAGGGCACGTGTTGGTTCACTCATGGCATCCCTGCTTGGGTGTGGAGATCTGCCCCAAGCACCTGGAATCTGGACCTTTTCTAACTTTGTAGCATGAATGTACACTCACTTTTCCGTGTGTGGATTGTACAGCCCGGCCTCTGCCTTCTGTAAATGACTCTTAAGGACCGAGAGATGATGTACAGCACGGCTTGCTCTCCTAGAGAAACTATTTTATTTAAGATATATTTTTACACCATTAAGATCCTCTGACCTTTTGCTGAAGGCTTGCTTTGTGTAGAACACTAAGATGCTGTACTGTATCTTGGAATTCCTTTTCAAAAAATGTGATGGAAAATTAAACCAGTGTGCAGTTCTTTGTGTGTATTTGACTGGAAGGGGAGGGGGGAGAAGGCAGGGAGGACCACAAAACATGCAACTTGTTATTTTTGAAGTCTTCTGGTTTTTAACTGGAAGGCAAAGCTGTCCAAACGAGCTCTTTGTCATCTTTGGGCTGGGGAGGTTGGGCTCAGCTGAGCTGATCTGAGCAGATAAGGCAGGGCAATTATCTCTGGGCAGCTCATGCAGAAAAAGCAAGAATTGTTGAATAGTTGGTGTTAAACCAAATTACTCTCAGTCCTCGAGTCCCCTCCAGCTTCTCCTACACTCATCCCAGGTGACAGAGAACCTGCAGTGTCTGTCTGGGTGTTCAGTCACTGCTGCAGATCAATGAGCTCCCCCAGGCTCCTGCTCCTGGGAGACTTCCCAGGAGGAAGTGGGGCTTGTGGTGAAGGGAAAACTCCCAGTGAAGGCCATTCCATGACTCTTCCTTACCCATCACCCAGACACCCAAGTGTCTGGAAAAACTGTTGGCGCTCGGGACTTCACCCTGTGGGCAAGTTTTGGCATCTGCAACTGGCAGAGCAGGTCAGCTCTGGTGACTCAGTGTCACCGCAGCAGGAGGCTGCAGCACCACAAAGCTGCCAAGCGCTGGACAGCTGAGACTGGCCAAGCTCCTGCTCTGGTTAAAACCCTTGAAAGAGACCCTTTTGTTCTTAAATGATGACAGAAACACACGTTTCCCCAGAGGAACAGCAGAGGGGTTTTGCTGTGTGTGCTGCTGCTGCCGTGGGTGGCTGGAGTGGGATCACAGAGGGGTAGGACACGACCTGCCTGGGCACCTGCCTGGGCTCTGTGGCAGGAATGGACAGGGGATGCTCCAGCAGGAGCAAGAAATGAGGGACCTGCTCTCCCCAAAGAGCTGCTGGGAACTTCACTGGATCCTGGTGCTCCCTCTGCAGAAGGTCCCTGATTCCCTGGGACAGAGGGAGCAGGACAGCAGAGTGACTGGCTGTGTACAGGGACAGGACAGGGACCAGGGGCCTCCTCTGCCACCTCTGTGGGGAGAGAACCCACCTGCCAGAAGGGAGGTTCAGCAAAGGCTGTGGGGTGTAAAGGGGCCAGGGAGAAGCCCAGATGGAGCAGGGTCACAGCTCTGGCAGAGTCCTGAGGATGCTGAGATGATTCACTCCAGCACTGCGGAGAGGTGGCTCCGGGGGGTGACAGGGGACAGCAGGGACAGAGGGATGTGCTCCCCTGCTGGAAGGGAGGTTTAGGGCAGTTTGGGGTGAGCCAGGGCTTGGCTGTCACTCTTCCCTGAGGAGCTGAGGTGCTGGGTGAGGTGACATCCCCGGTTTGTGCCCAAGAAACACGGAGTCACCTCCAGGCACAGATCCACAGGTGTCCATCTGTCCGAGCAGCTGGAGCACCCACAGCCACCCTCCCTGTGCCACATCCAGCCCAGGCCCCTCCACGGGGCCACACTGCTGTCCCACCACCTGCTCTCTGCTCCTTTACCTTTTCACTGGAGCCCAATTCCCTAAGGCCAGCTGGAAAATTCCTGCCTTGATCTGCACCAACCGACTTGTCTGTTCTCGTTTGAGCTCTGAGAAATTCACAGCCTCCTCCCCCCCCCCGTTTTTTTTACATAAAGGGGCATTTTGGCCTAAAAATTGTGTTTTAAAGGCAGACTCATCCAGCAGGTTCCACAGCAGGACAGCCAGAGGCGTTTGGGGGGAGTTTTGCAGCACAGGGGGGACATTTATGTATTGACTCCCCCCCTGAATTCCTGCACACATTCCCCAAGGCAGGGGCCAGCTCCGTGCTCTGCTTCTCTCCAGCCTTTGAGGGGCAACAGCAAAACAGGGACAGGTTTGCCTGGAGCAGGAAGCAATTGGTGATATTTGCTTTCCCTCCAAGCTAAAGCCCCACACCTCCAGCTTCCTGCTCCTGCACCAGCCCTGAGCAAACATTATTTATAGCAGCAAGCAGCAGTTATTGCTTTGCCCCTTCGTGACCTGGAAGTAATTGGTTAATTGAGTTAGACAACAAACCTCAAGACACTCACATGGTTTCCTTCCACCTTCTCCCAGGGAGCTGGAGAGTCAAACTCCTTCCACCCCAAGCTGGTTTAAAAACATCAAACACCTCAGAGAGAACAATGTTTACTTCCCCACCAGGAAATTGGACCCTGGTGAACCTTCTTCAGGGCCAACAGCTCCTATGAAGTTGCTGCACCTGAGGGGGTTGCTGCCTTGCTGGAGCTGGAGCTGGAGCTGGTGGGGGTTCTTTGGGGAGGTTTTCCTGAGCTGTGCAGAGGCTGGGAAACCATGGAAAGCTTTGCTGCTGGCTGGTGGGAGCTGTGCTCTGAGCAGAGGCGGGTGAGCTCACCAGAAAACAGAGATTTTGGTCTTTGCAGGTTCAGTGATGTGCTGACTTTGTGGTTGTGGAGGTTCTCTGGGTTTGTGGGCCCCAGGGCAGGGGTGAGGATGAGCTGAATTAAGCACGTGCCTTATTCCCAGCCTGAGATCTCCGGGCTGTGCTGGTCTCTGGTGCAGGGCCTGGCACGTTCCCTGGGGGGTTGTGCTCCCAGAGGGGCTGGAATTGGGTTGTAAAGGTCCTGAATTTGTGCTGGGGGTGTGAAGGGGCCTTCCCAAACCCCAGGGCCAGCAGTCAGGCTGTCTCTGTGCCTTTCAGGAGAATTTTCCTGGATGGAGACTGCAATGAGCTATTTTCTTGTGTATTTTCAGTCCCTATGTGATGGCTTTGGGGTACAGTGTCAGCTTGGGACATAATTGGATTTCTGGGTGCAAAGATGATGATTTTGACACCAATCCAAGTGCCTCTGCCTCCCAGTCTCCCTCTGCCCTCGTGTCTCTGTATATGTGACTAATGTTTATGAGTCTCCATGGATGTGTGACACTCTTTGGGAAGAGGAGCCTCTTCCCATGTCCAGCAGGGGGGTTCAGGCACATGAAGGAAACCCACCTTGGTGGGCTCCTCTTTGGGGTGGTGGGAGACCCCCCCCACAGGTGTGAGTGAGGTGCCAAGGCAGCTCCACAGTCTCCATGCCTGAGCTCTGTAGAACTCAACTAAACCCACAAGAAATCTGTTTAGCACCTAAAATGTGCCCAGATCTCGCAGAACAATCCCTCCACACGACTGGTTATCTCAAGTGCAGGCAGAATTAATGTAGGCTGGAGAAACTCCTGGTGCTGCTGGCTTCAGTCCACGGTCTGTGTGGAGTCCCACTTGGAAAAGCTTCTGTGAGGGCTGGAGGAGCCGATGGGATGGGTGAGCTGGAGTTATCCATGGACACGGGGACACTGCTGCAGCCAACGCACTGACCGAGGAGAAGCTGGACGGTCCTGTCCAAGCACAGCTGGGCCAAGAGCTTCCCTCTGCAAGTGCAGGGCTCGCACAGGGAGCAAAGAGGACTTCTTCCAAGCAATTCTCCTTGGCAGCTTTCCAATGTGCTCTGGTGAGGAAGGAATCTCAACTGGATCCTGCCTGCTCAGTGAAGGAGCACCGAGGGCAGAGCACAGCCCTGGGAGCTCCTGGCCTCCACCCTTTCCTGAGAAACACCCTCAGCTTCATCACAGAGAGCCAAACACCTTCTCCTCCTTCCAAAAAATCAGCGTGGAGGAGTGAGCAGCGGTGCCAGAGCCGGGGTTTCTGTGGAGCCGTGTGGGAATGCAGCAATCACGGCATTTTCCTCTGCAGCACCGGAGTCAAACTGCAGGAGCAGTTCTAAGAGGATTAGATGGTTTTGATCATATTTGCAGCTGCACTTGCTGTAACCGAGAGGAGAAATCCCAGTGACTTGGGAGGTGAGTGAGGGGTTGGGAGGGAGCATTCCCTTGGGATCTCACAGCTGGGGACGTGCTCAGACCCCGCTGTTTTACAGAGCCACCGGGCGCTGTCATTCCTGCAGCTGGAACAGTGGCACTTGGATCCTTTGAAGATCCAGGCTCCTGTGGAAAACTCACTTGGTCTGAGCCAGCCTGGATGCAGACTGAGCTGCAAGGATGGCTCCAGAATGGCAGCTCCCACGTGGAAGGTTCACATCTCCCAAGTGCCACAGCCTGAACAAGGAATGCTGTAGGAGCCCTGCCGGGTTCAGACCCGAATATGAGAAAGGAGATCCCTCCCTGGACATCACTCAGGATTTCTTCAGCAGTGCTTTAGCAAGGAAAACTCATTTCACTGCACAGTCACATTGCAGTGTCCAGTTCTCACACATTTAGTGTTGTTGGAGTCCCAGTAAAAACACCTGCCTGTCCCCTGCAAATGGGCCCTGCAGAGACACTGGTGATGCACTGCCAGCACTGCAGTAGGAATCTCCCCTGCTTTTCCCAAGGGACACCTCTGATGAGCCCTTGGCCCCCACCATGGGTTGGGGGGGAAGTATGGAATCCATTAATCCCTTTCTCCAATCCTAAATAAAAACATGGCCTTGTAACCAAGGCGGAAGAAATCGCTCCTTGAGCCACATGGAATTGCTCGGCCCTGCTCACTGAAGCTGCCTGGGGTTCTCTTTCTCCCTGGATGGAGCCTCTGGTGATGCTCTGCCTGGGACAGACGGGTTCCTTCTAAAGCCAAAATCCCAGACCTGAGCCCCAGGTGTGGTGTCTTCGAGGAGGGGGAACGTTTCACATCTCGCTCCCAGTTTGCCTGATGGTTGGAGCACAGTCTTAGTGAGCAGGGGAAAGAGCACCAGAGGTAACAAATCCAACCCTTTCCAAACACAGTCATGTGGTTGTCGTCTGCCAAAACCATAAACCAAGATCATAATCTGAAATTTGTCCTCTGAATGTACCTGTGCCTGCTCTGAAGTAGCTCCCTTCTAATCCCCAGGGATTAATCCTGAAGTGCATCGAAACATCTGAGGTGAAGGGGCACAGTGGAAATTCCTTGCGGGCTGGTAATAATAACTGAGAGCTGCTCTGTGAAGCAAACCTGAGGCTGACTTGGTTTTTAATGGACATCTGTCTGTAGGGGGAAAAAATGCCATGGCAACTGGCTTTCTTGTTGGCACGCCTGCCTCAGCACGGGGCTGGGAGAGGATGGGTATTGGAGGGGCTGTGGAGCTGTGCTGGGAAACCTGGAGGTACCGCTCGGCCGGGCTGGGAGGCAAAGGTTGTTTATGCTCTGTGAGCACCAGATCTTGAGGGATTTGAGAGCTAAATCTTGGCATAACGATTGCTTTGTGTGCTGCTGCTGCTGCTGCTTAGCAGGAGCCAGGCTGGGTTCCCCCCTCCCTTTTCTAAAAATGTGAAATCTGAAAGAGTAAAGGGCTCTGATGACGATTTCCTGGCGGTTTGCTGGGCACGGTCGGTGTCTCCCAGTTTGCAGCTCTGCCCCCAAACAACCCCTCTGAACCCCTGGCTTTGTCACACAGATCCTGGAGCTTTGCTGCCCCAGGAAGGAATTGCCCTTGTCCAGTGTCCTGAGGAAACTGAGAGCAAGGGTCACTAAAGAGTTGGTTAAAGGGGAAACAAGCTCTGGCACTTCTGCACTTCTCTCCTGAGCTCCATGGACATCAGGGATGGACATCAGGGATGGACATAAGCATTTTCCTTCATCTGCTGTTGGTTGCAGAAGAAGCAGCTGGCACACATGGCTCAGCAGGGACATCCATGCCCTGGCTGCACTGACCTGGAGGGGGATGCTGCAGGGCTGAGAATTGGGAGGAAACAGCAGTAAAACCACAACTGTGGATCAAAAACTGTACCTGATGGGAGCTGGGCTCTGCCTGGAGCTGAGCTGTGAATTGGGGGGGCTGCAGGCAATCAGAAGACCCTACACAGAGGCTGAGGTGGGGAGGAGAGGCAGAGGTGGCAGCAGTTGTCCCACCTGGTTGGTTTGGGGTTTGTGCTTTGGTTTTGCTCCTGGTCTTGTCTGCACCAATTCTGGCTTGACCACTGGTGTGTCATCAGTCAAAACTCAGGGCAGCTTTGCTGACGAGCTGCATCCCATCTCTCTGGGAAGTGCTTCGTGTGTCAGAGCACCTGATTTGTTCTCCTAATATCCCTCCAAGTGTTTGGAGATCCCCGTGCTCACAGCACTGTTCACAAAGCCTAATTCTCCAAGAGGAGGGTCGGGGATGATGGGACTAAAGAACAAGAGTGTGCAGGGAAGGGAAAACACGTGTGTAGAAATGCTCAGTTCTCTGAGCTTCTCCAGCAGCCGATTTTGCTCCAAATAAATCCCTGTGCTGCTGTCCCTTCGTATCCAGGCGTGTTTTGTCTTGCTGATGCTGTTGAGGATCACCCTGGGTAGCTCAAGGAAAGGATCTCAAAACCCAAGAGCAGGTTAGATCAAGGAAATGTTACATCACGTAGCACTTCCTGCTCAGTAATGATTTTATCGGGCTCATTCATCTCCCTATGCAAATCCAGCCTGCACACGTAGTCACAGATCTGAATGGAAACTGGAGTCCTGGAAAAACCTGGATTGTGGACAGGCAAGGCAAAACAGGACATGGTTCTCCATCAGGAATTGTTGCTTTTCTTTTTTTGACCACAGGGCAGGTGATTGAACCCTGAACGTTTCTACAGCCAGACCAATCATGTGCGCTGTTGGCTGTTCTTTGTTACATCACTGACAACCAAAATATCAGCTGTAATGGTGGGGAAGAGGAAAAAAAAGGTGAGAAATTGATAAATACAGAATATTGGGAATGGTATGCAGGGAGAAGTAAGGGGAATTGTGTGCCCTAACAGCAGTAAAATCCCATGACACTGGAAATTTGGGTGTTTCAGTGTACATGTGCTCACCACAGGAAGGTGAAGAGCTCTGTCCATGCTGGTGGTCACTGGAGAATCCCACTGCCACTGGAAACCAACCTGCAGGTTCTCTGGTGGTCCTTCCTGCTGGAGCTATTATTTGAAGTGTTCACTTCTATATTTACTTTTGAGGTGGGTTTTTTTAATGAAGATGCTCAACAAACAGCAAAGGGAGGGCACAGTGAAAGCCAAACAGAGCTTAACAAAACAAAGAAGACATTGAAGGAGAAAACAAGTCAAACTGCAACTGCACTTGAGTCATTACTGCAGAGTGAACACCAGTCCATTCATACCCTGCTTTCCCAGCACGTAATGGCCCCCTAAAATGTACTTTAGGGTGTTCATATCACGTCTTAGAAACCACCCCTGCCTGTGGAAACTTGATTCTGTGTTTTTTTGAATATCAAGGGCTCCCTCTTTGCCAGCAGGACCCCACAGCGTGGCTGCCTCTTCAAACCACTGCAGGTGCTTTAATGGTTCTTAACCTTTAAACCTTTAGCCTCATAAATAGTCACTAATTGCTGGGAGCTGTAAACATTCTTGGCTGAAAAGGCATTGAAGTAATGTTCCCTAAAGAAAAAATAAAAACCAACCCAATGTGAAGTGACCTGGATGTGTTACAACCAATTCTATATATATATACATATATAAAGGTCGGGTTTTTAGCTGCTCTTAGGTAAAGTCACTTATCCCATCACAGGCAGTGAACCAGACTTTTGTTTTTGCAGTGAGTGGTCCCCAAATTTCTGCCAGTCACGAGCTACCTTTGGCTCTGGCAGGTGTTGGTGTCTCCTAAACTCTTGGGCTGCAGAAATCCTCAGTGTCCTTCTCTCTTGGTTTTGTGGTTGTGAAGTAGCAAAGAGTCCTGTGAGCTCACTAAAATGACTGAAAAATGTACTTTCCTTAAATCACTGGCTCTGTTGAGTATTTTCAGTGGGAAAATTTTTCGTGCTGAGCCCCTTTTGGGTAGTATCTGTCATTCAGCTCATAACGTGTTAACCACAAGGTTCCTTGGGCCTGTGAGGTAAAACAAAACAATCAGTTCAACAGTCAAAATTGTAGGGAAAATGCTAATTTAAGAAAGCTGTTCAATATTTGTTATCTTTTCCCCATTGTGTGCCACCCACAACTCTTCCCAGTGCACGGGAAAGCTGTTGCTTTAGGAGCAAGGTGTATAAATAATGCCTGCCTAAGAGCACTGCTCCTTTTTATTCCATTGGAATCCTGTGGGATTTCTAGAGCATTTCTATGAATAGATTAAACTCGGAGCATTTCGAGTAACCATGGCTATAAATCAATTTAGCTCTTGGTTTTCAAGTTGCATCTGCTCTTACTAATCCTGTACGTGCATAATTTGGTTTTTAATAGGACAGGCCAGGCTTTATTTTTGTGTATCGGGATGAGTTGGTGAAATTACCACTCTCAGGTTCCACACACAGCTGCTGCACTGTGGATTCCTGCAGGGAGCCTGGTGATGGTGGACAGGTAACACGGAGCATCTCAAATATTTAATCTGTCAGTGCAGTGCAAATTTTAATGTCTTTAACGTTCGAGGAAGCCCCCTCTGCTCCAGAACCTGTAAGATGGAGGGGCACTGCACGGGAAGCAGCCATCCCTCCGGCCTCATCTTGCCGTCCTCCCGGAGCAGGGCTGCGTTTGGCGGCGGTGGGATGTGTTTAGTGGTGGCGGCTCGGGATCTCTGCGGCTCAGGGCAGCGGCCGCTCTGCGGGGCCCGGCTTCTCCCCCGGCATTTCACAGCCCGCGGGGGCTCGGCCATTTTTCCTCCATTTCGTTGTCTCTCGCCGCCTGGTTTCTTTTGAACGATGCGCTGCGGGCCGAGCCCGCCGCCCTCCCACCGCCGCTCGCTGGGGCCCGGGGAGGGGCGAGCGCGGCCGGGCCGCGACAGGCCGCGGCCTGCGGGGCCGCAACGCGGGGATCGCGCCCACGGGGGCCGGGCCGGGAGGGGCGGTGGGACCCTCCGGGTGCCACGGGCGGGCTGTGCGGGCTGCGGGGGCCCCTCGGCACCGCCGGGGCCACCCGTGCAGGCCGGGCCGGGCGGGCGCTGCCGCCGTCCCGCGCCGCCGCCTCACGTGTCCCCCCTCCCTCCCCGCCCCTTCACCCGCCGCAGCACCGCCGCCGCGCCCTCCGACTTCCCGTAAAGAGTCCGCGCCGCCCGCCCGCCCCGAGCCCGCCCTGCACCTCCGCCCCCGCCCCGCAGCCTCCGCGGGGCAGTCCCGAGCCCGCGGGTGCGGCCGCCGCGCCCCCTCGGCCCCGCTGCTCCCTCAGACCGCGGCGCGCTCGGCCGCCGCCCGCCCCCACTCCATCCTCCCCCGCCTCCCCCGCGGATCCCTCCGCGCCGCGCTCCGCTCCCTCCGCCCCGCTCGCACTGTTTGGGAGCAACCGGCCGAGCCAGCGGCGCCCGGCCCCGCCAGCGCAGCGCGCACCGGCCGAGCGCACCCACAGCCCGGCGCGACCCCCGGCGCGACCCCTCCCCTCCTGCCTCGCCATGTCCCTCAAGCAAGCGGCGGCGGCGGCGCAGCCCGCCGGCAACAACCGCAAGCCCCCCGGCGGCGGCGGCGGCGGCCCCGGCCTCCCGTCAGCCGCGGGCAGGCAGAACATGGGCAGGTGGGTGCGCAGTGCCGCGGGACCGGCCCCGGCTCCCGCTGCGGCCCCGGCGCGGGCGCCGCTCGCCCGCCCCCGCCGCCCCCTACACCTCTCGCGCCCCGCACCGGCCTCTCCATGGGCGGCGGCGGTGCGGGCGGTGCGGGGGCGCGGGGCCCGCAGCATGGCGGGGCCGGGGCGGGGGCCGCGATGGCGGCAGGCGCGGCCCCGCCGAGGGGTTCCGCAGTGGCGGGGCGAGGCCGGGCCGCGGCCGGGTTGCCCTTCAGGCGCGGGGAGGGCACGGCGGGGGAGGCTCCGTGGCGGGGGCGCCGACGTGACCCGCCTGCCGAGGCGGCGCGGGGGAGCGGGGGGCGCGGGGCCCGCACGTGCCGGGGCCGGCGCGGGAAGGGCCGCGGGCGATGGCGGCGGGGCCGGGGGCGGCCCGGGCGGGGAAAAGGGGGCGGCGATCCGGGGCCCCGCGATGGCGGCGCGGCGCCCTCGGCTCACCCGGGGCGTGTGTGTGTGTGTGTGTATTTATTTATTTAAACATCTAGGAGGTATTGTTATTTGAAATTATTTTTTATTAGTAGTTTCTGTCGCTATCTCCGTTATTATTTTTATCGTTCTTATTTTCAATATCTCTTATGAATATTATTTATTTTTTTTAAATGGGAAGCGCAGTGAGATTCTCGCGGGAAGGCAGGCGAGGCCGCGCCGCTGGATGGTGGCTCCGAGGCCTCGCCTTCTCCCGGATTTTTGGGGCAGGGATCCTGCAGAGGATGAGCTCCCCCCCCTCTCCTCGCCTCCCCTCCCGCCCCGCGCTCGCTGCCCCTGGAAGATCCATCCCACTCCTTCCCATGGCATTACCTACACAAACCCACACCTATTTTCCTCTCCCTCAAATAATAAACTTGGTAGTGCCGTGAATTTTTTCCGGGGCTCTGGGGGTCGTAACAAACGATCAGAGCGGGACGGTAACAGTTCTGAAGGTCACAGTCACTCAGAGCAGTTTCATTTCGAGTTTTATTCGTCTTCCTCCTCAGCTGGGCGTTTATTCCCGCTCAGTTTTGGGCCCTGGCAACAAAACGGGAATTTTCAGTGGCCCCATTGTTGGACATCACTGGGAATGGGGTTTTACTTTGTTCCCAGCCCGTGGAACTGGAAGCAGAAGAGCTTTGGAAGGGTTGAAAAGGACAAAATAAATAACAACAACAATCCCTCGGCAGCTCAGGGCACCCACTCGGTGGGTTTTATGTGTGGCATTGGGTTGGATGTGATGCCTGCTGTGCTCTGTCCCTGCCAGCACGCAGTGGCACTGTAGAGGTTAACGTGAAGGGCAACAAAACCCACAGCTCATTTTTTTTTGGGAATTCAGTCTGATGGGGAGCACTTGCCCCCATAGATTTGGGCATTTGAACCTCAATTTCACTCCCGAGTTTAATCCCAAAGCCATTGGGTTTCTCCTACCAGTGTTGCCTTTTTAGTTTTGCTGGAGAAATCCCACCTCAGAACTCCTTAGGGAGTTCTAGTGGGGCTCCTGAACAACTGACATGTTCTCAGAGGTCTTCCCGCTCTTTTTTGTTAATTTTTCAAATTATTTCTGAATGGAGGGTCTGTAAAATCACAGCCCCATGAAACACCTTAAGAAAACTTTAACCTATTGCTTTCCTGAAGAGAATACCTGTCTTTTTGGGAATACAAATTCAAAGATGGTTCATTTCGCAAATCTGTCCTTGTAAATGAAAAGCTGAGTGGCTTTTCTGTTTGAAAAATCAAAATTCAGGTGGCCTGCATCTTCATATCAGTTTGATGCATTGTATTATTTAATAGAAACTTCAAACATCCCCAGTTTTTGCTGAGCTTTCCTCCCAGCAGCTCATTTCCCTGCAGCCCTAGCATTCCCTTTCTTACCTTAAATACAAAAAAATTTGATACTTTTCATGCCTAAGTTGCCTTTAAAAGCTTAGTTTGGGCTGAAAGCTCATGGGTAATTAGCTGTCCTGGGCCTAATTTTCTGCTGGGAGTTTAGAATTGGGCTGAGTTTTTGGTCCTTGCACCTCTGATCACGAGTGGAGGGTGTTGGTCTCCGTGGGTTCACAGTGATGGACATCTCTGCTTCATCCTGGCAAAGGGAAAACCTGATGTGAACAAACAAGGCACTCCAGTGGTTCTCATTATACTCTTAATTTTTCCCTTTACATAAGGGGAAGAAATCAGAAATTAAGGTGTCTTTAAGGTGTTCAAGAGAAAAAGAAGGATTAATACGTTTTTTATGAGGAGGCCCCAAGTGAAATGCTGGGTTTGCTGTGGCAGATGGGCTGAAGGGGAGATGCCAAGAGCACAAGGAACTGTAATTAGGGAAAGTGTGGACCTGGTTCCCAAACCTGCTCCCTGTGCTGCTCACAACGTTATCTAACATCTGCTTTTTGTGTCTGAGTTGAGTTCTGCCCTTATGCAAGCACAGGAGGGTTGGCTGCCCTCTGGTTGGAAGTTGTATCCATCCCAGCCTTCCTCCAAGCCCTTCATCCTTTTTTGTTATTAATTTTCCCCACTGTTATTTTGTCTGAAGGCAAAGACTCAGGTTTTGGTTACAATTGTGGCAGAAGGGATTTTTCATTTTGGTAACTTTCTTGCCTAGCTGGACTTGGGTGTCATTTGAGAAGACCCAAAATGACTACCCTTTAAAAATGGCTTTTCCCATTAAAAAAAGCTAAAACTGAAATAATCCCATGGATAAGTCTCAAAAACGAGCCATGCACGCTTTTTGCCGACATTTATTTTCTTTTTTTTTCCTTGACATCCTTTTTTATAAGCTTAAGTAAAAGGGCAGGAGAGGTGTCAATCCTGTTCAGACTGAAGGAATTGGGAATATTTGAGTGCCAAGGCACTGGCACATAATGGGAGTGACTGTTCTGGAAGGGCTGATCACACGTGCCATTCAGAGGGTTTCTGGTTTGTTCTCACATCTTTGTGTGGGTTTTAGTGCAACTGTGCAAAACTGCTGAGCAAAATGCCTGGGTAACCTGCAGGTCTCTTCCCTTATCCCTGGGAATGCACTTCAGCATGATATTATATCCCTGATTTTGAGTAACTTTTAATTTAACATCTGATTCACAGCCGTGCAGATGAAGAAGGTTCTGCAATGACTAAGCCCATCAACAGGTTACTGGTGTGCACTGGGTCAGATTGAAGGCAGGTTATTCCATATCCAGATGCTACAGAAGCTGTCATTTCTTGTGGAGACAGGGATTGACATTATTGATGTCAGTAGTGGGGGGAAAAACTACAGAAAACAAACCTGCAGGACTTGCATAATCTTAATTGACAGCTTCGATTCATTTGACTTCATACAGCCAAACACTGCACTGAAATAAAACCTTGTACTTCTGATTTTCTCCCTCAGAAGAAGAGCCTTCCCAGCTCTCTGCACTAAAATTCTCCAGAATATCCTGTAAATTTGCTTTCCAAGCTGCAGTAATATCAACCAGTGCTCCAGAAACATCCATTCACTCCTGAATTCAACACTCTTTGTAGCTGCACTTCTGCTCTAGGCATTAATTGCAGGGTGCTTGCATTTATTTCTTAGTCTGAAAATGAAGATGCTGCTGGAGAGAAAAGCTGAGACTTTCTTTCACATCCAGGACTTTGTTTCCCTTGCCTTACTTTTCACTTAACTGGGAAAATAGAAACGTGTGACGTTGTTTTGCTTATACAAATGCTCCACTTGGCATGTAAACACAGGGAGGAGGAGGGATGTGAGGAATAGGGTAGGAAATGCTCATAAAAATAGAAAAAAAAAATGTGCAAGTTGCTGCTGGGGAAAATTATTTGTTGTGCAGTGTTTGGGCCCTGCTGGAGACTTTTGACTCTTCAGGTGTCAGTGCTGGACTGGAGGAGTTGGCTGCTAAGTGTGGTTGCTTGGTGGTACTTTGTAGCTTCTGATCTTCTGTCTCTGCCACCCCAAAGCAAAGGGTTTCCAGGTTGGGTTTACCAAACTGCCCAGGTTTCCCTTTAACCACATTTCTGCAATGCAAAGTGCATTTTTTTAAATTTTTCTTTTTTATTATTTTCCATACTTGCTGTAATGAAAATGGGGTTTTAGGCAGCAGAGACAAATTACTGCTGACCCTTCTGGATTCCCCCCATTCTTAGTTTTACTCTCCTGTTCTAAATTATGTTAAACTTCTGGCAAAACCCACTTGCTTTCTGCTTTTGTAAAGGTTTTAAGTGTTTTTTTTTTTTCATTTGGTGCATCAAAGATGTGTCAAAGGGTAGTTTGAACTTGAGTCTTTGCCTATTGGAATACGAAACTCAAGTTGATGGGCTCAGCGTTAGGAGAAGACACAGTTCTGTCTCAATTGTTGAATTGGATTGGTGAATATCTTTATTTTTTTCGTCTTGGTGAGTGTCTTTCCTTCTTTTCCAATGGTTTGTGTTTAACACAAGCTGGAGAACATGAGGCCAGGTCTTTAAAGGGATACTTTAGATCAGGGGAACATAAAGAATTTCTGCAGGTACCTTAACCCTTGGCTGATGTAGAAGTTGGCACCTCTTGCCATCGTGGATGTGCACAGGCAGTTTGTTTCCTAGAGAAATGTGGGTAGGAACAGTAATTTTGGAAATGTGGTAAGAGATGGAAAATCCAGAACATTTGGGCTGATGTTTGGAGGGAACGCTCCAAACTTTCTGACCAGTCTGGCAACCCAGTTATTTAAGTTCTAAGAATACTTTGTCACTACAAATGGGATGGTTTCTATTGCAAAGACACCAAACTCTTTCCCTCTTGGCCATTTTTGTAGCTGATGGAGAAGGAGGATCTAAAACCCTTGAGGCCAACAGATGGAACTGGGGAAATCGGTTGACTTTGGCCAAGTTCCGTCAGCGACCGTGCTGGTTCCATCTTTGATTGTCATAGAAGGACAGGTCAGAACTGGACTGAACCTCTTATTTGGGGGTTCCTCAGCTGGTGAAAGGACTCTCAGAAACAGAGGGATCATTCCCCTGGATATTATGCAAAAAGGATATTCCAGGTTGCCATTTAACAAATGACAGGTTTAGGAAATGCTGAGAGTTCCTTGTCTCCAGAGCAAGCCCGAAGGTGTGAAGCTTCTGTGGACAGTTCGGGCTGGTGGTAGTTAAATAAAGGTTATTTGCATTAGAATTTGTTTTTTTTTCTGTAAGATTAATATTCTGCAGTATTCTGAAAATGCCTGCTGGACCCCCCAGATCTGCAGGTCCTGCCATCAGCAAACATCACCCATGTGGGGGATGCTCTGAGGCCACATTTTGTTGCAGAAACTTGTTTTCTTAAACGAGTGAGGTGATAGTTTAGTGGTTTGTCATTTTTTCTTCATTAAATCCTTTCATGGCTCTCTACTGGCCTTTATTTCTGCAGAATTTATTGGAGGGTTATTTATGCTCACTGGGAGAAGTTCCTTTGATTTCTTGACTGTCCCATGAGCCTTATTTTTAAGGGCATGTTATTTTGAGGGGTAGATTGGTGTTTTCAAAAGCAGTTGGGTGCAGTTGACATTCAGTGAAGGTGTTCAAGAGCTCTGAGCAACCTGGTCTAGTGGAAGATGTCCCTGCCCATGGCAGGGGCTTGGATTGAGATCACCTTTAAGGTCCTTTCCAACCCAAACCATCCTGAGATTCCATGACATTCAGCTGCATTTAGATTTCAGTGTTCTTTGGTTATTTTGAAACATGGGCATGATTCTTTGTATCTCTTCAACGAAATGGTTGTGCATCAGTAAGGTGGTTCTATTTTAAAAATTGATTTTTTTTTGTCAGTAGAAGACTTAATTTTGCCTCCCATTACGCTGGGCACTCCTGAAGTTGTTATATAAATCTAAATCAGAAGTATTTGAAACTGGGACTTCTTGGTACAAGGAAAGAATTTAGAATTAAGCCACACCAGTGGATCTGAAGAACTGGAGCTGTTGGGGACTTCCCAGCTGCAGGGATGTTTTGGGACTCAGCTGGCTGAGGTGGAGGGCACAGACTGACCCAGCTCAGTTTGCAGGGTATCCCGAGCATCCAGGTTAATGGAAAAGCTTTTGGAAGTGTTCTGAGTGCTGCACAGAGATTTGCATTGAAAGGAGTCAGTGTTTTTGGGGGATGGACAGACTTAATGACTTTATCTTGCTGGGCAGTTGGAAACAAGCCCTGTAGGTAGAGCCTTGCAGCCAGAGCTCCTCAGTTCTTAGGGTGGCCCTTCATCTGACACAGTGACAGGTTCAGAGCCTCAGAGAAGGGCCCTGTTCTAAGCAGGGATTGAGCCTGAACTGAGGGTTGGTTTTGTGTGCCAGTAAGGTTTGGAATTTGGAACAATGGCATAGGCTTGGTATTTTCTTCATTTTCTCCTTTAATTTATTGTAGGTGACCCCCTGCCTACTAAAGGCACTTGCTGGCAGGTCAGGAATTTGGAGGATGAACTCACTGGGCCTGTAATTGTCAGGTTCTGCTCTGTGGGAATGCTGGTTTCCTGAGCCCATTCTCAGCTCTGTATTAAGCTGGGGTTTGGAATTCTTACGTGGTAAGAAATGCAGCAGTTTGGGCAGTTGTTTTAATCACATCCCCTGTGTGTGTTTAATTCCAGAGGCCGCAGCAGTGGCAAAGGACCACCCCAGCCTACGGTAAGTGTGGGGTTTCTCCTCATTGTACCACTCCTGGTAGGAGGAAACAACTTAAGAGACAGAAGAATAGCAGATACTGGAATGTTCTCCCCGTATTTTTCCTTTGGATACTTTAAACTGAGATACAGTTTTCTAAAAAGTAGCATCTTGCATTCATTTAAGTCTCCTGGGAGGGTGAAGGGGGAAGGTTCACTTAAACTTTTGACTACACTTACATAAATATTCTGCATTTTCCTGCAATTCTGGTTGGAGATGTGAATACCATTTAGCTTAAGGCAGTGCTTTTTGAACTAGTTCCTATCTGGAGATTCTGACATTGGCTTGTCCCTTAAACAGGTTTAAGACAGCATTGAATTAAATATAAATATATAAATATAAAATAACTATAATAATACATAAACCTAAAAGATATATAACTATAAAATATAAAATATTTTGTTTGGCTTTACTATAAAATTGCTAACTCAGTATTCTCCTACCCCCAATGCTTTTAGTTACTCTCAAGGTTGAAGTATAGGTGTGGCTTGACTTGTGGAACATCATTTTATCAGAGCTAAAGATGTGGATCTTTGAACTGCACCAATCAAATATTTGCCCATTTGTTGTCGGCCTGGTTTTCAAAGATGGCTCATTTGGGGGAATGGAGCAGAAGTAGGAAGGTTTAAAAGGGCCACAGTTTAACTTACATTAATGTTTATTGAAGATATCAAGGCACTCAAGTGAAAATAAAGAAGCTTTGAGGGAGTCTGGTGAAAAAAAGGCCACATGCAAACACTGAGCATCACCCAGTGTTGCTCTTCTTGTGCTGAGCACAGGAGTGTCCTCAGAGGTGTCTCTGCAGCCCAGGGAAGTGGCTGGCACACAGCAGCAAGTGGATTAAGGAGCTGACAGTTGAAAAGATGTGTTGTCAGTGGAAAAGCTCAGAACGTGGTGAAGTCCCTGCTTGTTTCACAGGCACGGAGTTGACAGGGAGAGATACCAGAGGTTGCAACAAAGCACAGGCATCCTCACCAGAGAATGTGTCCTGCTGGTACCTGGTGAGCTCTCCCACTCAGGGAGATCCTGGTGCTGCAGTGAATTACTTTGCACTAATTTAATAACAGGGTTTGTAGCAGTTTGGCAGTCCACGATTTGATGACTTTGGCTCCTGTTAATGGGTGCAATCAGGGCTGGGAGATGAAAAGATGTGGTTCAGCAGCCTGAAAAGCACCTTTTCACTTCTGCAGCGCTTGGAGTGCCTTGCTCATGATGGTTCTTGAGGCAGAGAGGGATGTCAGAAAACAAAGCCCTGCTGACACCCCTCGAGTCTGTGCATGAGCCAGAGAATTTCAGTATTGAGTGACATCTCCTTATTTATTGAGTGGGATTTTTATCTTGTTTGGAAGGGTGTTAGATCTTTAGTTGGTCAGAACAATTAAATGTGCATTCTATGTATATTGCCTGAGTAAGACTTTGAACCAGTGTTTCTAGGAACTCATATAAAGGCCAGCATTGCTTTGGGTGCCCTGAATTTTAGAATTGTTGCAAGTTTTGCTCCTGTCTTCATGATTTCTTTCTTATTTTTCAGATTTCTTTCGATGGCATCTATGCAAACATGAGAATGGTTCACATACTCACATCAGTTGTTGTAAGTCTTTGTGTTTGGAAGTTCCTGTAGTGACAGAGAATTGTTAACTGGTCCAGCAGTTGTAATAGGATGGAGTGAATATTAAATTTTAGGCTCTTTCTGCCAAGATTGAACTTGATGTCAGTAATTCTGTATTTTTGACTGGGAGAGGTTCTGATTTGCAGAGGTACAGCAGATTTCTTAGGTGCACTGGTCATATTTTGAGTTTTCTGGGTTTGGAGGGGTTGTGGGTAAATAAAACGGGTCTGTGTGCAGGGATTGGAACCCTTTCTCCCACATTCCAAAGGAAGTCCTGACATGCCAGAATTAAATCCCACATCTCCTTGAGTCCAGGTTTAGCTTTTATCCTCCTTTGTACCCACACACATGCACAGATCTTGGTTTCCAACAAGAACTTCTTTCTGCTTTAACTGGTCAAGAGTCTTGTGAGAACCAAATCTGCTCCTGTGAGGATCTTTAAATCCCTCCAGAGCAGCCCATACACAGCCAGCTGTTTGCAGCTGCAGGGCACAGCAGTGCATCTAGAAAGTGGCAGGTGCTGGATGAGGAGATTTAACTGAAAATTGAGCTGGTTTTTTACACAATGTACTTACGTAAGGGATACGGGTTAAGGAAATCACTGAAGTGTCATTTGCCTCGTAGAAAGTTTTATTTTTCATTTTTCTTGCGTCCTAGGGATCCAAATGTGAAGTACAGGTGAAAAATGGTGGTATATATGAAGGAGTTTTTAAAACCTACAGTCCTAAGGTAATTTTTTAACATTTTGACTCTTATTTTCAAAGCTCCCGTTAATCAGTGTTTGATTAAAATGTGAATATTGTGTTTAATTAGAATGTTTACTACGAATCATTCCGACTGCTTGCACAAGCAGATTGTAAATGCCTGGTTTTTTTGCAAGTAGCTGAATTGACTGAGTGGCTGATGGTGCATTAATTCAGAGGCTTTCCGTGTGTCCCCCAGTGTGATTTGGTGGTTGATGCTGCTCATCGGAAAACTGCAGAGTCCAGTTTGGGGCCAAAACGTGAAGACATTCTGGAGAGTATCCTGTTCAAGTCTTCAGATTTTGTTATGGTGCATTTTAAGGATATGGATACCAATTATGCCAGAAGAGGTATATTTGTTTTTCAAATTGTTTGTTGTCATAAGATCATAAGTCAAGGTTTTTTTTTTTTTTTTCTAAGTAGGTGCTTCAGGATGCAAAAATTCAAGTTCATATTCTTAATGAGTGCAAAACTCCTGAAATCTCAGGTTTATCAAATATGTTTTAAATGGATTGCAGAACCTTTGTGAGGCCACTTGGCTTTGGTGTCTGGAAAGCAAAGCCTTGATGGTTTTACAAACCATTTTGTAGATTCTGGGGGAGGTCGATTTTTTGGGGGGTAAATATCTTTTTAAATTACTCTGTTAAATGTTATAGAAGAATCTATGAAGACACAAATTCTTTTTCAGGGTTGATTTAGATACAAAGCCTATATTGAGTTAACTTCTGTATCCAAACATGCATTCACAGAAATATTCTAAAAATACTACTGCAAACAGAGCTAAAAGATCTTTAAAAATCCTCAACTTGTGTTTTTAATTTCTGCTTTGCTACTTGTAGACTTGTAGGCTTTCCAAAATACAGAAGAACCTCGTGGGGTGGCAGGCAGGTCTTAAAATCTTGAAGACATGGCTTGAAACTGTCAAAATTAAATTATTTTACAGACAGTCAGGCAGTTTTCATACTCTGACTGTGTGACCTCCAAGCCCCTAATTATTTTTCTGGAACCTGAGAGTCTCAGAAGTCAGACAGCTCAATTCCTGTGCAGATTTCTCTCTTTTTGGGCAGCAAATTTGAAGGGATTTTATGCTTTTGTTGCTGATTTGCTGGGATAAGGAATAGAAGCAAATGCACAGCTTTGTGTGGGGGGTGGAATTGTGTATGTGTACATTTACAGGTTGATTAACAACTCTCTCTGGGAGCTCAGTGGTCATTGCAACATGTTTTATTCCCATTATCAGAGACTTAGGGATGTGTAGGGACAGAGGACATTTAATGAGATCTTTCTCTCCTCACCTTGTGTGGATGTTCTTGCCTGATTTAAAACTGAAGAGTGAGAGGTTTGGTGTTTTTTTTTTTCCAAGGAATTTTGCTTTCCCCAGGAGATGATGCATAATGTCAGAGCGAGTGTAGCATTGAAATGCAGATAGGTTCCAGGTTCTGGATGGGGCTTGGAATTTAAATCACACAAAGAGCTGTTTTCTAATGGGTCTGCTGTGAACTTCACTTTAATGTTAATGCAAACTGGGCTCTGCCTTATCCAATCTTTATGGATTTTGAGCAGACTGAAGGACAAATATGCTCCTGCTTCTAGGAATGGACGTTTTCTGGAAGAAAATGACTGCTCCAGGTTGAGCAGTCCCTCAGTTCACTTTATTAGGTGGAATATCTTGGAGTGTAAATCTCTTAAGTACTGGAGAGGAGAGTTGAAATAAAGCTGTAGAGACTTGGAGCAAGATAAACTGGGAGGCTGCAAAACTTGATAACTCATAGTGGGTAAATTAATCTGCTTTCCATTTTGTCTCAAAAACGTGTTATCTTGGAATGACACTTGAAAGTGGAACTCAGTCTCTGATCACACCTTCAAATTAGAGCAATGAGGGGCTTTCTGCTTCCTGGGTAATTAAATAAGCAAGGATTCAAAAGAATGGAAGTGCACACAGGAACTGCTGGCCTTCTGTTCATGTAAATAAACCCAAATCTTCATGGTCGTGGGTCAGATGAGCCTGGGATTCACAGTGAAAACTGAGTCTAAACTCCTGGGCTGAGGAGATGGTGCTCCTTGTCTTGGGAATGGTCACTGCCTGCTGCCCAAAGTGGGACAGGGACAAATACCTCTAAATTGTCTAACCCTCAGTGTTTTTTGGCTTTCACAGACAAGTAAGGAGACAATTTGGAAATATTTGATTGGAAAGGCTTTCTGTGCTTTAAAAATGTAGTCAAAGAAAGGGGCACTTCACAAGCTCTCTGTTGAGAGGCCTTCCTGGAGTAGGGGTTGTTGTCAGTCTCACCTGGAATAAGGTTTGTTGGGATCTCTGTAGTTTCTTACCCCTTAGGAGCCTGCAGGGCTTTTGGGGATCCCTTGAGCTAAACTAAATTTCTGCAGGAATTTGTGTTTTGGAAGTTTTAGTGCATCCAGGTTTCCCAGTGCAGTATCTGGAGTACTGTGGATTGTTATTGTGGCATTTGTTCTCTGCTGGGCTGGAGGAGTTTGGGCAAGAGAACTCCTGAAGGTGTTCACTGGGTTGAGTCACAAGTCAGGCAGTAGAGACTGGAAAAGGATTGGGAAAAAGCAGCAGGAAGAAAGGGAATGGGATGGAGAAGAGAGGAGAATACAGTTGTGTGTGAAGAACCATCCAGCAGAGCCTGCCAGGCAGCTCCCAGTGCTATCAGAGCTGTGCAGCTTTGGGGCAGGAGCTGATAACTCGTCCTGCAGCTGCATCAGAGTTCAGGGGAGGGAACAGCAGGCTTGGGGTGGGTGAGATGGGGAGCAGCACCAGTAGATTTGTGCCAAGCATGACACTGCACCTTCAGATGCACCACTGGAGAAAGAGTGGTGTCTGCCCAGATTGTAGAAATTGGAAGGGTTGAGAGACAAACTCCTAGGTCTTTGTGGACACAGGGGTGTTGTAGCAGTTACTGTTTAAAAAACAGATCTGTCCCCACTTCCCAGAGCTGCTATATTTGCAGCTCTGTCAGTCTGCACAGACCTTTCTGCTTGTGCAGATGCTTGTTAGGCTTCAGAAGGAATGGAAAGGCTCACCTGAGGTCTCTGTGGAGTTGAGGTTTGCTGCAGTACAGGCTGATGAATGACACATGCTTTGGAAAACTCAGGTGAAGTTGTGTTACACCCATCACCTCCTCCCAGCCTGTTCTGTCTGCCTTTAAACTGGGACTGACACCGAGTTCTGCCTGAGCTCTGCAAATCAGCTGCTCCAAACCCGCTCTGAGGTGCAAGTTGAAGTGCTGGGCTGTGCATTAACACGTCACATCTTTCTGCTTCGCCTGTGGAGTGCTGAGATCTCAGAGCTGCTGCCTGATCTGGTTTTCCAGAAGAAGCTTCCAAAGCAGTGTTTCCTGGAGCCCTGAACGCTGATAGTGCTGCTTTGCATATGATTCAAATTTCACTGAGGCTTTGGAGTTGCCTTCTTGGCTTCTCTTGAAAGACAAGACAATTCAAACATCATAACTACTGTTAAAGTAAAAGATTTCTACAATGTTTTTATTGGGTTTTGGCACCGTTGCTGCACTCTGAGAAAAAATATTACAAATGCAATGAAAAACAAGGCAGAAGAGAATTGGCTATTAAGGCTTTTCCTTGAATTAGCACTGCAAGTGGCATCCTTCCAGGGAAAGTGTTGCAAGGGGAATAGCAGTAGGCATCTCATGAACAAAGGAAGGAAATGTTGGCTCAGCAGAGCTGGTGGTAACTGGTTTTAATGTTTCAAATCACTAGTAAGTAGTTACAAAACAAATGAGAGTTTACTGTTGAAACCTTGAAGGTGAAAGCTCAGTTTACTTTGGGCCTTGCTTAGGCTTGATCAAAGCTTCAGCGTGAGCATCAACACCTTTGGCACCGATGGGTTCCGTGGCATCTGAACTGCAGACTTGCCCCTAATTGCATATTTTGTGCTTCACCATTAGTAGCTCAAAATATGTTTGTGGGAACAAGCACATTGGACACTGAAGTTAATTAAACCCTGACTCCTAATTGCTCTATTCTGCCACTTTTTTCTTTAAACTCATTTAATGGCACATACTTGGAGAATTTGCCCAAGCTGATTTTTCACAGAATGGATATTTTTAATTTGTGTTACTGTGATTTTTCTCTCGTCCTTGGGATTTTTTTTTTTCCAGTTACCAGGCTTTAAAACAAGAAGTGAGGTCCTTGATACCCAACTCCTTTCCTTAGAAATGTCACATTAAGCAGGTACAGAGGCAGGGGGGGCTAATTGAGTGTTACAGCTCCAGCCCTTTGTTTCACCAGGTTTTTGTTTGATCTTTAACTTGGCTTTTAACCGTGTAGAAAAGGGATTGATTAAAAATTTGGCCATGTCAAGGTGTCATGTGAATTGCTCCTTCAACAGCTCAGAGATAAGAGGCACCAGATAAGGGGAGGCTGAGCCTGGGCAGTGTCTTGTCTGTTATTACTCTGCCAGTCAGCACTTGGAGCAGCAGCTCATGTTTGAACTCTTACTTTACTAATAATCTTAAGAGCAGTGTTTTTGTTTTGGAAGCTGTTCTTTTTAACATACGTCCTCAATCCTGTGGCTCATTAATTTTGGTGGAGGCTTGTTTGACTTGCTGGGTTTTTAATCCTGGTCTCCCGTGTGTCTGCCTGGCTGTTTGTTCCAGGAAAATAGTGATCTGTGCCTCGAGGTACCGTTCTGCTACATTTAAACTTTGCCTGCATGCTCTGGAGACCATCCTGTCTGACTGGAGGTCTGCCTTTGTAGCTTGGATTTCTCCTAACTTTGGATTTTCTTTGAGCTGTGGAGGTTAAACTGGCGCAGTCTCGCTTGTGACTGTCATTCTGAAATGAGAAATGCAGAGCACTGAAGGTTCCTGTGCCCCATGATATGCTGGATTCCACTGGGAAGCTGAGCAGTGACTGTACAGATCTTACTCAGACCTGGAGCATTTGGTAGATAGTGGAGTTTTTGTTTTGACTCGTCGCTTTTCCCTCAGTTCATCTGTATCATTACAGTAACAGCACTGCTGGATGTTTATGTGGCGGTTTAAATAAGAAAATTAGTGGGTTGAGTAGATGTGTCTTGTTAGGCTGGTATTTTATTCACTGGATCCAAAATGGCACAGTTGTTTGCAGTTTGCCTGAAGGAATTTAATAGAAATTAAAGAAACAGCCCTGTGAAACACAGATTGTCTCCATTAGGCCTCCTAACTCATATTTATCTAATCTCAGTGGAGAAGAGTTCCCTCTACTCCCAGAGAGGTAGAAACAAAGTTCACAGTTTCCTAAGTGCCATAAGCAGCCTCCAACTTGCATTTGCTGTAAAATGTCCAATCTGAGAGGATCAGACGTGAAACACTGAATTAATGACGGGGCAGGAGCCAGCTCTGGTTTGTCTGGGTTAAAATAAAAGGTACATGCAGAGTTTCCAAATGAAAGAGCCTTAAAAATGTGCTTTTTAGCTACTACTTAACCGTGGATTGTAGCACTGTGTTACTGTGTAGTTTCAGGAGACATTTGAACATATAGTATATATTATATATTATATTTTCCAAGTTGTTTCTGTGAAGGGAAATGGAGAGATGTTTTCAAGTTGGAATAACTTAGAAATCTGTAGGTTATTTGGAGGGGTTTGGGTTCTTTTGTGAAGCAAAATGGAACTGTTAACAGTGAGAACATTGCTGAGGTTTTTTACTACGAAAATGATCTTTAGCAAGGTGGGAGATGTTTGATTAATTCTGTGAGAGGGACTCAGGAGTTCAGCTCTGCCTGAATTCAGCCATATAACAGAAAAAACTCCACCTGAATTTGTACCTGATGTCTTCCCAACTCCTCCTCTCTCCGTATCTGTTGTAGTTCCCTCAGAAACAGGTAATTTTTGGGCAGTCACTGTGTCTCTGCATCTTGCCTTTCATAACGCTTTTTGTTGCCATAATTTACACCAGAAACTTAATCCCTTTGTTTGTGCATGTGGGGCTTGGCAGGAGCACGTAGAGACTCTTGCAGTCAGTTGGTGATTTCTGGTGTCAGCCTGGCTTTTCAGCTCTTCTGGAGGGTTGAGGTGGCTGAAATTTGGGATCAGCACACAGGTAGGGCAGGGGCAGGTTTTGTTTCCTGTAAGCTCATTAACAATGTTTAATTGCCCCCCCCCACAGCTCTTTGTGCATGTGTTGAGGGAGCATTTCATGGATAGTGCTGGATGGTGTTAGACAGACTCAGCACAGTTAATTTTCATGCCAGATCATACCAATAAATGCAGAACTTCACTGTGAAATTGGGTAAAACAGGAATAATGAGCAGTGTCAGCAGCCTCTCTTTAGAACATCCTCAGTGATTGTGTAAAAGCTGTTACATCAGTGGCCAACTTCATATGTTGTGAATGCTTTTCATAAGAGCTTTAAAGTCCATTTTTCTTAGGAAGATTTTTAGATCTTGCCAAAAGTTAATTTAGGCCATGTTTTTCTGTGTCTGGCACTGCCTGGTGGTTTGATTCCAGCTTTTCTAAGGGTCTGAAATGTTTGCTCCTTATTTTATCAGTAAAGGATAATAGGAAATTCTAGATTGAAGACTTACTTAGATTAGGTTGATTTATTTATTTGTAAGCTTATAACAGGCTAATTTGATTTTTGAAAGTTCTACTTAAGGATGGCAGCTCTGAGATGTAGTTGCTTACAAATATAAAAGCTTGGCTTCCTTGAGGAGTGGCTTTAGATATTTTTATACAGCACTTTCAATATTCTGGTATTATTCCTTCTTAACTCTGGCTTGAATGAAACACAAACAATTTAAAAAAAATAGCTTGTGATCCTTTTTTTTTTAATGTTTTCATAATTTTTTAAACAATAGAGGAACCTTTCTGGTTATTTATTCTCATATGTTGATGGGAGCAAAAGGGAGAGAGTTCCTGAATATTTCTGTTGGTGTGTTGAGGAGTTGTGGAAATAAAAAAAAAAAACAGATATTTGAAGGGAAAATTGTATTTTGCCCATTCAGAGAATGGGTTTGGGTTCATGCTTTTTTGATATTTGCACAGTGTTTTAGTTTGCAGTTGTGTGGGCTGGTTGGAAAATTGTATTATACAAGCCTTGGGTTTTCTAGAGGAACAGGGATCCTCAGTCTTTTTTTTCTCTTTTTCTTTTCAAATATTCACATAGTTGGTATAAAATATTTTGAAATAACTAAAAATAATTCTGTTCTCTGATGTATTAGAAGTCGGTCTGGACTTCCCTAGTTATTTTAAATTTCAAGTAGGCACCTTTCTGATGTCCTGTGGAACACAGCAGCTGCAAGGAAAGTTAAATGATGATGATTGAGCCTGTGATCGAGCTGCTGTTTGGTTGTTCCTCAGATAAAAACCAGGGTACTTATCCAAGTGATTTCACCTCCATCCCTCCCTGCTCTGTTGCAGATGCTTTTACTGATTCAGCCATCAGTGCTAAAGTGAATGGAGAACACAAGGAAAAGGATCTGGAACCGTGGGATGGAGGAGAGAACACGGCGTCCGAGGAGCTCGAGGCGCTGGAGACAGATGTTGTGAGTGGTGCTTTTTTATGCCCCTTGAAAAGAAACCTTGAAAGAATTCCTTGATTTTAATCTAGTAATGAACTTTGGAGGAAAATCGCTGTCCTGCACCCTTGATGGTGGATGTTCAGTCTCTGCCAGCAGCTGCCACAGTAGTTTTAACCAATTTGAATAAGAAAAGCTGGATTTCAAATGCCACTCGTGGCAAATATTGACAAATGGCAGCTGCTGTGGTGAGGGACGTGTCGGGCTCAGGGACTGGCTGAAAGAGCAGCTTTTGTTCAGGCCTCCAAATTCAGCCATACACCAAAGTGATTGATGTTTAATCAGAGCATCCCTGCCTGACTGTCACTGCCTTTGGAAAGGATGGGGAGATCGTGCTCAGCTCAGTGTCCCTGGGCTCCACAGGGGGAAATAGATGGAAGTCTGACCAAGCACAGATACAATTTTAGTAGATTATGAACCATTAGATGAAGAGTGTGGCCTCCAATGCCATTGCTTTATATATCATAGCCAGCTTTTACTCAAGGGTGCATTATTTTAGCAAGGTAGTCAGATGGCAGTGTGTTAAACAATGCTGCTGATTAGAGGAGAATCTGCTCCTGTTACTGTGGAGCACATTTGGGTAGAAGAGTTCTCCTGTCAGTTTATTGGGATTTATTAGAATAGTCAGTACTGTCAGTGCTCTTATAAAATATTCAAAACATTTCTCGTGGTGCTTGGGTGCTGCAAAGGCAGTTTTACTGAAGGGGGGAGGTTGTGCAGATCAGCAGGAGTCTTGAGCCTGTGCTGTGTCTCAGGGAATTACATGAGTGCATCTCAAAAGTTGCAGCACTTGCCACAACAAGAGATGTTTCTAATCATCAGAAGTGTCAATTTGCACCTTTTTGGAAAAGGCAGAAAGACATTGAAGTGTTCATTTCATGCTAACCAGTGTTACTCTAGTATAGAGTGGGTATGTATTTAAAAAAAACACCTCAAAATCAACACAAATACACCCAAAAACTGACTTTTGAAGGTAAAAATCTGCATTTTACGAGCAAATTTCCATAAAGTAAATTGTGGCTTTATAACTTGGTTATCTGGACAGTGAATTCACAGGCCCAGGGAAAAAGGCAGAAGGTTTTAACTTCTGCCATCAACCCTTAATTTTAAGGGAATGTGTTTCCAGTGTCATTTTGAAAAACAAGCATCGTTTTCTTCTAGTCTAATGGATGGGATCCCAATGACATGTTTCGTTACAATGAAGAAAATTATGGTGTAGTATCAACTTATGACAGCAGTTTGTCTTCTTATACGTAAGTTCCAAAATATTTTGTTATTAGATTTGTATTTAATGTTCTCCCTGGTTTGACAGACTTTACATTCTGAAGCTAATTCTGCATAGTTTCTGAAGCTGTGCACTCAAATAACTGAAAAAGCAATGAATGAATAGTGCCTAAGAAACCTTGCCAGCCTTCTGTGAATAGTTTGATGTAGAAATCTTTATATATTCCCTTAAATGGGCACAGCTCACTCCCTTTGCAACGTTTGCTGAATTTAGGCATGTAATAATGCTTATTTATTCCAGGAATAGGGGGGAAAACTGGGAGTTTGTCTTTATGTAGCTGCTGTACCTATAGTTTTTGTTTAACCCAGCAGAGCAGTTTGACTAAATCCTAATTTTATTGAGACAATTGATCTGGAATGTGGAAAAGTTGCTGATAACCAAGGGAGGGGGTTGTGTGCTGGGGATGACTTGTTTAGCAGACTTGTCCAGCTCTAAACTAAAGTTTTAGTTACAGCATAATAACTGTAAATATAAATATAAATAACAGTCCTTATATATAATATAAATTATAAAATTTGAATATAAATAACCATATGAAAACTGGGATATAGAAGTAGTGTAAAGCCTGCTCTGGTTGCTCTGGCAGTGTGGATTTATTCCCAATAGTCTGCAGCTATAATGTTCACTGCAACTGCAACACAAATGGACTGCAGATGTTCAGCAGCCATTGTGAAATGTCTTTAGTGTTTCCCCACTCTTTTAACCCCCAAAGCAGCAACTTCTTTTTGAATATCAAGGAATGGCAGTGAATATTTTGATTTTTTTTTTTTTTGTGTGTGTGTGGTGCACTTTGTCTCCAGGTCTGTGGTTCAGCAGTTTGATTTTGCTGTTTGGTTCAGACAGACCTGTAACGTGGTGATAATCAAAGTGTCCTAATCGGCTTATGTTCGAATCCTGGGGAAGCTGTTCTTTCCTTCCCTCCACTGCTCTAAGTACTTTTTGTACTTTTGAACTTTAGTCTTGCATCTTTCTGCTCTCTGGATATTAACAGAAACAGATTAAAAAACATGAAGGTGGCTTTAAATTAATTCCATTTTTTTTTTCCCCCTAGTCAAGCAACTTGAAAGTGGGAAGCTCTTTTCCCGATTTTCCAACCCTGTGAAGAGCAGCAGTGTAGATAAATGCTTAGATGTGCAGCTGCAGGATTGTAAAGGATTTATTGTTTGATTGTTTTCTCTTCCTAGAGTTAAGCATTTAGCAGGTATAGTTTGTCAAACTGCATCAAGGTACAAGTTTGAGTTCGGTAAATGCATCTAGTCAGCTGCTTGTGTCATCACCAGGGTTCTGAACAATGTCATCGTGTCCATCCCCTTTCTCTCATCTCTCAGAAAACACAAAATCAGTCTTTGCCTGTTTAGGTTGCCATACATCCCTTCCTTTTTCTCAGTCACTTGAGATAAATGAGGATTGTTGGGTGTCCTCCTTCACTGTGTGCTCCCAACACGAGGTCAGTGAGCCCATGACCAGGTTTGTGATCGTGCAAACCTTATTAACCTGAAGGGTGAGGTTTTGATTTCATGTCCTTGCAGTTCCCATTGAGAAGGTCAGTGGATGTCTTGACTGACCAAAAATGTGCGTGTGGGGAAAAAAACTTGGGAGGCAGTGACCAAGTGCTGGCTTGGAATTTGGCAAAGCCACTTGTTTTCCTAGTTCTGCCACCAACACTTGAGTAATTTTGCATATATTATTACATACTTGGCTGGTATCTCCACCTACTTTCTTTGTTTTTCTTTTGTATATAATTCAAAAGATGAGCAGTAGTGATTATAGAATGCCCAGCAGAGCATGGGCCAAACCTCAATTGTGGTCTGTTGTTTTTATAGAGTTTATTCTAAAGCAAGGTTGGATGGAACACCTTTTTGCAGCTCAAAATCAGGGGAAAAGGGGTATTGTAAAACCTGACACTTGAACAAAAATTAGGACAGGTGAAAAAACAAGAAGGGTGGACAGGAGGAGGTGCCAGGTATGATCCCATCTCTAGTGATGTCTTTCAGTGCTCATTATGTTGAATTTTGACTTGATGGCTTTCCCAAGGGATGCTTTCTGCAATATGCCATTGCCTGCTGTAGAGGGATACATGGAATGAGTGGGTTTGGAGTCCTGGGACATGAGAAGTCATGGATTTCTGGTCCTATGCTCTGAACTGTTGCACTCATCTTTTCTGCAGTTATTCATAACAGGAAGAGCTGAAAATTCTATGGCTGGAATTACCAAAGGATTAAGGAAGTTACTCTCTAATTTCAGTAGGATTGTGTCTGCTGGCGATGTGTAAATAGCTAAAAAAATTCAAATTTGGGCTCTTGGAGTAACTTCCTATCCAGGCAACAGACTGATGCTTTTTATTCCTGATGTTCTCAACCGTGTTAAAACTTGGAGCCTTTGCACAGCTTTAGGGACTGGGGGTTTTGCAAGTCATGGGGAAAAGTTCTACTCTCTGACCTCAGCTCTCTGGGCAGGTAAAAAGACACTGAATTTTCACATAAAATCAAACCAATCCAGGAATATTGTCACACTTTTAAAAAAGACAGCGAGTCTGCTGGCTTAAATACAAGTGTTTTGTTTTTTTTTCCACTCTGGCTTGGTTAGAACTAACAACTGTGTAATTTTTGTAGCTCCTTTGTGCTTTTGAATGCATTTCAGAGATTCTTTTCCTTTCCATTGTCTTTTAGGGTGCCATTAGAAAGAGATAATTCAGAAGAGTTTTTAAAACGGGAAGCCAGAGCAACTCAATTAGCAGAGGAAATTGAATCAAGTGCCCAATACAAAGCTCGGGTTGCCTTGGAAAATGATGAAAGGACAGAAGAAGAAAAATATACTGCTGTTCAGAGAAATGCTAATGAAAGAGAAGGACATGGTGTGAACACTAGGTACTTGATACACTATGAATAGTATTTTTATTTAAATTATGGCGGTGTTTTGGGGCTGTGGCAGTTTGCTCATTGAAGCTGAGCTTTTCCAGCAGGGTTCATCAGGTTGGGAACCTTGTGTAAACAATCTTGTGCTGGTTTTGGCACCCAGGCTGACTTGTACACCTCTGCCTGGCCCTGCATTATCTCTGTGGGGAACAGGCTTCCCCATTCTGATCTGTCAGCGTGGTGAATTCGTACCAGATTACAGGAAAGGGCAGTGGTTTGGGTATGTCATGGAGAATTTCAGGCATTGCAACCGAATCCTTCGGTGTCTGGGGGCTCATAAAGTGCACTGTGTGGTCAGTATCAAAAGCCAATTCATGAGGTGACTGTTAGGTCAACATCTGATAGTATTTAATGTTTTCCTTTAGCTTGATCTGAGAAAGATTAAAAAATACCAGCTGAGCACTCGATGGGGTATTTTTGGTGCCTCTCAGTTGTGTGTTAGGACTGATGGAAGTTTGCTGTGTTTCAGAGAAAATAAATACATTCCGCCCGGACAGAGGAACAGAGACGTCCTGTCCTGGGGAAGTGGAAGACAAAACTCACCAAGGATGGGCCAGTCTGGCTCAGGCCCACCAATCTCAAGGTCTGGATCCCACACTTCCGAATTCAGCCCTAACTCTGGAGCAGATCAAAGAGTAGTTAACGGAGGCAAGTATCTAAAGTCTAAATGAATGTACAGTAAAACATTGCAGACAATCACCTAATTATGCTGCAGCTGCACATGGAGTGGGTTTAGGATGTGTGTTCCATAAGCTAGGGTAGCATCCATCATTTAACACAGAAGTGGTGAGTTGGACTTACAGTGGAACTGCATTTAGCTGCACTGTACTCTGCAGAGCAGAAGTGTCATTTGTTTTCCTTCTCAGACACCTCTGTCTTAGATGATGGTGCAGAGTGTGGTTTTAAAGATTAAAAATTGCTTTCTGGATTCCACTGCAAGGCTCTGTGTGGAGGAGCAGCAGTGCTGACACCCAGTGAAAGGGGAGTGGCAGGAGGAAGCTTCCCTTCCTTTCTGGTGCATGGATCAGTTCTGTTTCCCATGGCAAAGAATAAAGCAACTTTCTGGCTCTGTGATGGTGTGGGATGGGAAACAAGAGAAGTGTTAGGAAAAGGAATCCAAAGCCTGTGCTGTGCACATGGGTAATAACTAACCAGACATCACTGGGCACTGCGTAGCAGGAGTTGGTGTTCCATAAACCGAACACCATTTTTGAGGTGGATTTCAGCAGTAGCCCCTCCTTGAGGCATCATTTTTAGAAGTTAAAAATGCTGTTGTGTGAAATTGCTGTGAATAAATGAAAAATGTGTAATACTCAAGTGATCTATCTGGAGAGGAAGTCTGAGAAACATCTAAAGGTAAGTGAGACTTCCTTTCTAAAGACAGAGTCAGCTGTAAAAGGGATGGACAACTGAACCTTGCCCAAACAATGCTAACCTTGAAATTTGTCCGTAGTATTTGTGGTTTCTGTCATCCTATTACTCTGCTGAATGAACATCATATACCTAAAATATTCAGAATGGCTTGTAAATTCAATTAATTCTGTTTTGGAAACCATGAACCCTATATCCTAGATTAAAATCCTCCATTAATACTTGAGATAACGGATAAAGGCAGAAATGTCAGGATTCAGACACTGAACACCGCTGTTTTTTGTAAAGATGCAGTTCCTAGCTGGATATTGCTCATCACTTGGTTTGCAAGTAGCACTTTGTGTAGTTATGCTGTTTGTGACCAGCTGTTTGAGACCCTCTGGTAGCTGTTAAGGACCTTGGTGAGTGCTGGGTGCTGTAGAGCATTGATATGCCAGGCTAACAGATCAAACTTTACTGTCTATTCCTTAGTAGTATTTGTAGATCCTAATTAACCCTTTGGGGAGCTTGTGCCGTTCCGACCCCAAATTCGACCCAAAGTGGTGGAAACAACCCCTCAGAGCCTCTTGCCAAACTCAATCCCCAAAGGGTTAAACATGCAAAATCATTTTGTCATATTTTTACTTTTTTTTTTTTTCTGTTGACCTTTCCCCCCCCCACTCCCCTTCCCCTCCCCCAAACCCCTAAACCCACCCCCTTCCCCTCGCCTTCCTCCCCCAAAAAACCCCCCACCCCCACCCCCCATAATTTTTTTTCTTTAGTTTTTATACTTTCCTTCATATCATTTGTTCTGTCAGGTGTTCCCTGGCCATCGCCTTGCCCATCTCCTTCCTCTCGCCCACCTTCTCGCTACCAGTCAGGTCCCAACTCTCTTCCACCTCGGGCAGCCACCCCTACACGGCCGCCCTCCAGGCCCCCCTCGCGGCCCTCCAGGCCCCCGTCTCACCCCTCTGCTCATGGTTCTCCAGCTCCTGTCTCTACTATGCCTAAACGCATGTCTTCAGAAGGTACAATACCACAATTTGTTCATGGGGTGTTTTTTTTATTTTTATTATTTTTTTTTTAATCTCGTTCGTCTTCGTTTATAACTCCTCCGTGAGTTTTAATTGCCAAAATTTGTGGTTTTTTTATTTTATTATTTTTTTTTTTCCTCTTCATTACTTAACCTTATAATTTGTGTTTTAACTTTAGTTGATCAGACTTGTTTCTATTAACCTTTTTTTTTTTTGTTTTGGTTTGTTTTGTTTGTGTTAATTTGAAGAGCTTTACAAAAACAAATAAAAAAAGGAAAGAAAGCTGTGAAATTTCCCGAGTTGGTATGAAATTAAACTCAGCTTTGGAAACGCTGCTCAGTGTCTTAACTTAACCTACAGCAACATGCAGGACCTGATAACTTTAGAGAGAGCTTTTCTAGGACTGAAATTTAGGATATAGTTAGAAATTTGCATTTAGAAATTTCCGTTTGGAAAGTGACATTTAGAAATTTAAAATTTAGAAATTTCCATTTGGAAAGTGACATTCAGAAATTTAAAACTTAGGAATTTTAAATTCAGGAATAAAATTTAGGACTACTTGTTTTCTTATTTTATGACTATAAATTTATGTAAAATACCAATTTTAACACGGTTGTCCCACAGAAAGCAGTTTCAAATTTAACTAAAATCATTGACTTACCAACAATAATAACAAGCATGTAACAATAATAATGAAAGCATGTAAAACAGCCAACAGTAACAATGATAAAAATGCTGCATTCAGAGAAGTACAGTGTGGAATGGGATAGGATAAACTGCTTCAAGGTGAATTTGTAGGGAATTTTTAGACCTGCTTGCACTGATCAGAACAATCAATCAGCTCCTTAGCAGTCAATAGTACTCAGAGAAGGGCTGACCTGTGAGTCTCTGGTAACTGTGCAGAATCCTCTGGACTAAATTTCTCCTGTCGAGGTACAATAATGATCGTGGTTTCTAATTTTTATTGAAGTGCAGTTAAATAAACCCTGCACAGCATTGTTTAGCAAGCCTGGAAGATGCAAACTGGTTCTGGGAGAGAACAATCATCCCACTGACTGAAGCAGTAACACTGTTCTGCGGCCTGAGAAATGCTCAGGGTGGGCCGTGACCAAAAAGTGGATGATGGTCACGTGTCTGGCCTCCTATTGTCCATTTGTTATGGCTTTTTATGTAGTCAGATACTGGGAATCCACCTGCATACTCAATTATTTTCTTAGCCCCTGGGGTTGATTTGTCAGGCCTGCACTGAACTGCTGCTTACTGCAGGGTTTAATTCCTGCTGCCAGGAGATCACTGCTGGGAAATGTGTATTCTTTAAAATCCTCACTTGTATGTGATTTGGATTGAAGTGTACTTGAGATTCATGGGTAAAATAGAGGCTGACATTTGATAGATTTATGTAACCAGAGAGGTGCTTGATACTGTAGAACTTTATGTGAAACCAAAAAGCCATTATCTGAACTTTTCCCTATTATTGACATACATTAAAAACGCAAAAAAAAACCCCACCCAAAACAGGTCGTGTTTTGTTCGCAAAGTTTTTCCTTTTGAAGTATCAACATTTGAGTCTGATCTGGTAAAGAAAACGTTTGTTAGGATGTCAAAACTGTATTGCTGCTTAGACTTGAGCTGAACTGTTGTGTGGCAGCTGCAGAAGCTGCTCAGAATTCCTGTGCTCACGGATGGCTTTGGCTCCCGGTGTTAAACATGCATGACTTGAACCTCGGGATAACAAATCACTTGCTCAGTTGCAGTTGTGCTGACTGTGTGAATGAATTGTGAGCTGCTGCAAGGCCACTGAGCCCTGCTGCAGAGTGCCCTGCTCAAATCCCCCCCAGAGCACCGCTCAGCCAGCGGGGACTGTAAATGGTTGGGATCGCTGCCCCACCTGACAAAAAGCCTTGGGAATTTGTCGCTGGGATTGTGCTTGTCCAGGGCGAGCTGGGCCACCAACCCTTATGGCTTGGCTTGCTCTGAGCACTGCTGGATACTTGGATTCAAATATCTGAAATCCAGGACTTGCACACCTGATTGAAGGCTGATAAAGCTTCTAAAATACCCGTTTAGAGCTGGCCCAGCTAGTTGCTGAGTGTTGGCAGCCTGGCTGGACCAATGGCTCGGCCTTTTTGGCCTGGTGGATCCCTGGTTCTAGTCGATATCGGCGTAAATTGCTTGACTTTATTACTGAATTACTGAGAGTTACGAGATGAAATCCAAGTTTGAAAACCATGTAGCACGTTTTTGAGAGCTAATGAGCTGAAACCCAGTCTTAAAAGCAGATAGTGTTGTTTGGATGCTCTCAGTGCCGGGCTTCACTTACTGTGTGGGTTGTTTGTTTTTCCCCCAGGGCCTCCACGGATGTCTCCTAAGGCTCAACGGCACCCTCGAGGTCACAGAGTCTCTACTGGTAGGGGTACAATTTCAAGTGGCTTAGAATTTGTATCTCATAATGCACCTGGGGAAGCATCTACTGCTGCAGTGGCACGAGGCAGCCCTTCAGGTGGGACGTGGTCATCAGTTGTCAGTGGGGGTAGGTAAAGCTTGGCTTATTGCAGATGGCTTGCAGGGGGACCTTAGAGTGGGAATGCTCAGCAGAATCCTGCCTTTCCAGACAGTGAATAACCAAATCCTGGGCTGACTTAGCTTAGATGGAAGTGGGAGAAGGATGTTCCCAGTTAAAAGAGTTGGTGAGTTGGTCCTTCGAGTGCAGTGTTGTCCTGATTGCAGGGCCAGGTGGTGTGTGAAGAGAAAGGGAGGAGAAATGTGGGAATTAGTTGTTGGAAGGATTAATTCTGAGGAGAGTTTACTGGAGGAGGCAGGAGGAGTCGGATACACTGCATGGCATCACTGAGTTGGGTCAGTGGCTGTGGCTGGGCTGTGGTTTTTTGAAGGAGGTGTTTGGATAGAGGAAGGTTGGTGTTAAAATGATACTCAAGTTCAGTTGGATATATTTTTGGTTTAGAAATTACATGGATTTTAAGTGGTGATGTTGTTCTTGTCTACTGTAGGAGCAGGTACAGTCAGTGTCTCCTTTTTTTGAATCATTTAATGGGGTTTTTGAATATTTGACTTTTTTTCAAGCTTGTGACACAGGCCTAGTCTGGAGCTTTTAGGTTGAGGCCATGTTCTAGTGGGCTATGAGCAGCTGGGTGTTTCCTTGGGTAGGTGAGACACAGTTTGGTCCTTTTCAGATCCTTTTTGGGTGTTTCTTAGTGCAGAATTCTAGAGGAGTGTAGTGGGAATGCATTTATCAGAAGGAGGGTATGAATTAGACCCACATAGACCTGTTGCCTTGTGGTAAAGATCTAAACTCTTGTGTTCTGGCATTATTTCTGATTCATCTTTGCTCCCCACACCCCACTTTAATATATTATTAACATGCAAGTAGGACTGTTAAACCACTTACCTCTCTTTCTCCTCGCTCACTGGGGGTTAATATGTGACATAAAGCACTAACTCACCACAGTGGGATGAGCAGGAAACAGGAGGTTTAAACTACTTGTTCCAATTTCTTATTAAAACAACACACAACTTTCCTTGCTGCTTTAACACAGGGGCAAAAATACACATCAACTCTTCCTTTTTTTTTTTTTTCAATAGGCTGTGTTGTTTTTTTTCCAGCTGGCAAACCTCCAAAAGAGGACGCCGGAAAATGGAGGGGTTTTTTCAACCCTTTAAAAAAAAAAAAAAAAAGTGTTTTACATCTGGTTGTGTGGAGACCTGCCCACCTTTTGTGTTCTGCCTGAAACTGTGTTAATGTGAGCTCTTGTAGTTGTACTTTTTTTTGGGGGGGGAGGGGGCTGGGGAGCATTTTGCAGCTTCCTGGTGGGACTGAGAGGGCAGTGATGTGTGTTAGGGGCCAATCTGCAGAGAAATCACCCCACTTATCTGAAATGCTGCACTAGGAGATGTACCTGAAAGGTAACCAGGTTTTCAGTTACTCTAAAAAAAAAATATTTCAAAGCATGTTTTTTTTTAGCCGTTTTAGAAACTGTCGAGCAGCTGAGGAAGCTCCTCCTATAACTGTTTTTTCCTGTTTGTTTCTAGTTCCGAGATTATCCCCTAAAACACACAGGCCTAGGTCTCCAAGGCAGAGCAGCACTCCCATGGGACCAGCTCTGCCTTCCCCTCAACCTGGGACTATTCCCACTGAATCTGTTGCCATGCCTGTTCCAGCTGCCTCTCCTACACCTGCCAGCCCTGCATCCAACAGAGCAGTCACCCCTTCCAACGAAGGTAGGTTGCAAAATGCATCCCTTTCCCCTAATCCCTGAGGAGGAATTTGCCTTGAAAGAGCAAAACTCCTTTCTAAACACTGGAAAAAAAACTTGGGATGCGTTTCATTTTACTGGGAGTTCCCCTTTGCTGGTGGTGCCACCTCAAAACTAAGCTTTTTGATGAGTCCGTGCTTAATTTCTTGTGCCTTTTAAGGAGGTTGGGCTTACAGGTGACTGACTTAATTGAGAATTTCTTTCTTCAAACTGAGTTCTTGGCTCTTTTCTAATTTAAAAAACGTGGGTTTCGGAGGGTATTTTGAACATAGCAAAAATAAGGGGGAAAAAACAACATTCAAGGGCACAGTCAAATGTGTAAGAACTCTCAAATGTTTGTAGAATTCTGTCTGAAGAGCTTGGACTGTTGAAAATAATTTACTCTGGGTTTATAGATTGTTCAGCCTAGTCAAGGTTCAGTGGATGATGGGAGGGATGAGTTTAACTGGGATTTTATAATCTGGTTTAAAAACAGAAGGGTGGGGAGGGGGAAGGATGATCCTGCAGGCACCAACTAGGTAGCAGAAAATGTGTAACTTATTAGATTTTTGGGTTTTAAGCTAAAATTAAGCTTAATCTCTCTCCTTTTTATATCTTACCATCTCTCTTTGGTCACTTTGAGTTGTGTAAAAGAGAATAACTCTGGCCAATTTTTTTGCAGCTAAAGATACCAGGCTTCAGGACCAGAGGCAAAATTCTGCAACTGGCAACAAAGAGAATATAAAACCAAGTGAGACTTCTCCTAGTTTTCCTAAACCTGAAAACAAAGGTTTGTATCCCAAGCTTTTGGTTGTACTTGAGTGCTGTAGGAATTCTGCACATTAAACCTGCTGTCCTGGCTGCTTTAGTTGGCATTTTTAGGAAGACTTGGAGACAATCTGGTGTTCTACAGCAAGAATTTGGTCATGCTGTTGTCAAGTGGCAGGACTAACAGTTTTAAATGTTGTTTGTGACTCATTCCATCAACACAAAGTGTAGAGATGCTCATGTGGACAGTGTGATTTCACTTGGTTTTTTTTTTCCTTTTGTTTTTTTCTTTTTCCTTCTCTCTTTTCCCAGCTCACAGAGCTGGTTTTTAGCTGCCTTTGGACTGAACGTGTGTTTCTTGCTCAGAGCTGTGCTCACAAGAATTGTGAGCATCATGATCAGCACAGTTTTTCTGACTGTGCATATTCCTGTTGTGCCTTAAATTTGTTTGGTTGGTTTATTTTTAATGCAACACTACTTGTTCACCATTCTCAAAAAAATCTTCTCACCTTCTTGAGCTTGGAATCGTGGATCGATTTGGGTTGGAAAGACCTTTAGGATGGAGTGCAGCCATAGAGCTCACCTTGAGCAGTGTTTCTCCTCTATTGCTGTGTTTTGAAGCACTGGCAGTGTGTGTTTGGGGGGGTTTTGTTGCATTTTGCTTCGTGTTCAGCGAGTTCTGCAGTCCCTGCACCTCAGGGCTTCTGCCTTGGTGTGGTGCATTAGAACTAAAGATAAGTCAGTTATGTAATGCTGGGCTTCCACAGAGTGTTTCTGTCTGCTCCTGGAATTGTACCAAATTCCAAATGCACTTATATCACTATTTCATTTCTAGATATGCAAACATTACCTTTCTGCAGAATTAGTAATGTGTAGGGGTTCTATATATATGTATATATATCTATTTCTTGTATTAGAAATGCCTGGACAATGTTGGTCTTATGTTTGGCAGGTGTCTCTCCAATTGCTTCAGAGCATAGAAAACAGATTGATGATTTAAAGAAATTTAAGAATGACTTTAGGGTAAGTTTCTCTGTGTTAATTGTATCCTAATTCTCCTGTGCATCCAGATTATTTTCATGAGTTGAATGCACTACATATGTTAACGTTTCTCAAGACTTGTGCTTAATTTATGAAAATATCTGTAAGAATTCATGCCAGATATTGTAAAATCAATGCTGACTCTTGCTAGTACAATTGCCTAATACCCATAAATGTGAATATTGACTGTACACTGAAAATAGGGCTTGAAACCTGTTTGATCATTAGGTACAAATAATTATCACACACTCCATATGGAGGAGCTGTTGCAAAATTAAATGAAGAGTTTTGCTGAGGAAAATAGAAGATGAATTTGAATTACTTGTTTCCTGACCATAATGGTTTATTAAATCAGGTTAACTTTTCAAGTGTTACTGTTAAATCACAGCACAGATGAGTCCAGGGGGTTGTCTTAAGCTTTCCTGTCACTCCCTAATCAACTTATAGGTCAGTTGAGTGGCTGAACAGCCTCTTACTCGGTGCAGGCTTAAATATTGTCAATGTTCATGGATTTCTTTTCTAGTAGAAATGGAAATGTATGTTTTAAAAGGTCATTTCCAGATGATCAAGGCCCGTGGGACTGTATTTTACTCTGTGTATGTGACAGCATTAGATTGTCTCCCCACAGTTCTGTATATCAATTTACTGAATATATTCCTTGGGTTTTTTTTTTTCAGTTACAGTCAAGTTCCTCTTCCGATGCAGTGGATCAGCTGCTCAACAAAACCCGAGAGGGGGAGAAATCAAGAGATGTAGTTAAAGAAAAGACAGAGTCCACCCCTAAAGAATCTATCATAGAAGCTGGCAGTAACACCAACTCCAATGGTGGCAGCAGCAAACCCAACAGTCCCAGTATTTCTCCTTCCATAAGTAACAGCTCTGAGCAAAAGCGAGGGCCTGAGGTGACTTCCCAAGGTGTGCAGACATCGGGGCCTGGAAGTAAACAAGAGAAAGAGGATAAAGAGGAGAAGAAGGATACTTCTGAGTGAGTAATTATGCCTTTTAGAGTAAGCACAGTGTTACTAGCATTTAGCCTTGTGTAGAAGAAGCTGGTGTGAATGTGTAAGATGTTGTCTCAGAGCTTATTTAAATGTTTTCCTGGCTCACACGAGCTGTAGCATCAACAGCAGGAAAAATTTATGGATAAGTGTATAGTAAGAGTCCTGTCAATAAGAGTGGGGGTTTTTTTGCATGCCATGTGGTGTTTGAGTTCTCAGAAATGTGACTCACAGATGGAAATGAGGTATTTCTTACATTATTAATTGCAGATATGACTGTAAGAGAATAATGCCAAACTTCATGTTTTGTTCTTTACGTTTAGGCAAGTTAGAAAATCAACACTTAACCCTAATGCTAAAGAGTTCAACCCTCGATCTTTTGCTCAAGTAAGTTGTTTGATGCTGTTTAACTCTGCCTTTGAGTAGATCTTTATAAGCAGAGCTTCTCCTTGGAGGATACTCAGACTAATCTTGCCCTGTGCTTTGCTCGACCCTGTTTGTAGCCGAAACCTTCTACTACACCGACCTCCCCTCGTCCACAAGCTCAGCCCAGCCCCTCCATGGTGGGCCATCAGCAGCCAACCCCTGTGTACACTCAGCCTGTTTGTTTTGCACCAAATATGATGTACCCGGTTCCAGTGAGTCCAGGCGTGCAGGTAAAGTGCTGCAGACTCCTCCACACTTCACAGGGATTGCTGGGAAATTGGGGAGACTTCAGAGGTTTGGGTTGGGAGGGACCTGAAATATCAGCTGGTCCCAACTGAGGAGCTATGAGTTAAAACAGTGAAATGGTACAGCTTGTATTACTCTTGTAAATATATATTACACTGTGGTTAAGTTTTAGCTGTGTCAATACTGACTTTTCCCAGTGCTCCCTCAGTCTGGATGTTCAGATAGTCTCAAACACTTCTAAATTCCAGCAGCTCACATTTGGTGTTAATCTCTAAGTACAATCTCACTCTCTTTAGGATTTAAGCAACTGCTTCTTTGTCCTCAGCTTCCAGCTGATTCCCCACTAGTTTATGGTTGTTGTGGGGATCACTGGGATTTCAGTCTAGCTCTGTTACCACAGAATATCCTGAGATGGAAGGGACCCACAGGGATCATTCAGTCCAAGTCCTGGCCCTGCCCAGGACACCCCAACAATCCCACCCTGTCCCTGAGAGTGTCGTCCAGACACTCCTCGGGGCCGTGACCATTCCCTGGTTCATGGTTTTCCTCTGGGCCAATTTGCTCTTACCCCCCACGCAATTACTATAAATTGAGAGAAGGAGTGGGAGCCTGTTCAGTGCCCAACCACCCTCTGGGGGAAGAACCTTTTGCTGAGATCCAACCTAAACCTCCCCTGACACAGCTTTATAAAAAAAAGCTGTTACAAATGTTTGACTTAGCCCACTGCTTGCAGTAGTAGCGTTACTTGTCTGGTTGTTGCAGACCATATGGTCTCAGTTGTTTGTCCGTGCAGATTTACTGACAGAGGTCCAGGAAAATCTCACAGGTTAGGCAGAGTTCACTAAACCATGGAACAAAACAGAGTAAAACACATCAAAGCTGAGTGGGGCCCCCACCCCGACACACATTTGCTTTTTAAAGGAATATCATAATTTCCATTTCTTGTGTTTCAGCCTTTGTATCCTATTCCCATGACGCCCATGCCAGTGAACCAAGCCAAGACATATAGAGCAGGTAAAGGTGAGAATAATACTGCCTGTTTGGTTCTCAGTCTGCATGCAGCATGGAGAAATTTAGAGCTGTCTGTGTGCTTTCTAATCCATGTTCATTTGTTTGTGATTGATATTTTAAATGCTATTTTTAATGAAGGGAAGTAAGTGGAAATACTAATGGATTTTTAGATAAACTAATTCAGATGAAACAGGCTTGAGTTTGAGTTATGGGGAGTTGCTTGGTTTGGAATCTGATTTGGCAAGCAGGAAAATATCTCTGTTACTTGGAGCATTAGGGTAAGCTGATCATCTCCTATATTTCATAAATATTATAGGTTTGTTTAAAGGGAACTTCTGTGCTGGTTTCCAGCACTGAATGGTGCTTCAGTAGAGGGGTTTTGTCAACAAGCAAAGTCACTCTTCCTTCAAAAAGAGTGTGCTCTGCTGCTCTTCTGGAAAAAACTCACTGCTGGTTCCAGTTTTTTCCTCTGCATTCCTTCTGCCCCAGTAATGAACAGCTGGACCAACAATAGCATGTTTTTAACAAGTGACACCCATGGCTGTGGAGACAGAACATGTGGGAGATGCTCCCTGTGCAGTGCAGAGAAGGAACAGAAGAGTGTTTTTCTAGTCCTGTTTCAGGGAAGGCTCTAACTCTGCACAGTCCATTCCTTCTTGCAGTGTTAGCCAGTGCCTCCTGAGGATGGGATCCAGTGCTGCAGCTCCAGTCACTGGAGGGGGGGATTGTTTCCAAGAGCAGTCCTGCTGTTCAGAAGCGAACAAGTGGCCTTTATGAACGTGGGGAAGACAAACCCCTGCAATGTATTTCTGTGTTAAAACACAGTAACTTCACTGTGAAATCTTGTCATTGGTAGCGCTGTTTTAATCAGAAATACACTGCTGAGTGCTCGTTTGCTGGGTGAGGCAGCTCCAGTCCTGAATTCCTTTTTAAAGCTCCAATATTTTCTGCGTGTCCATCTGTGTGCAGCATAGCCCTGAGGGAGCTGCCTGGGTTACAGCTCAGTGCCTTTGTGCTGTTCAAGTTGCCTCCTGTATTTACTTCTTTCTATTGTTGATTTGCAGAGTAAATACAACCATCAGTGAGTGAATTTACTGACATCTCCTTTCCTCTCCCTAAGGGGTCTGGCTACATTGCCCACTGCAGTGGAGTTTCCAGGTGCTTGGGGTAGTTTAGTTAGTAGTTGCAGCCTGACTGCAGGAGGCTGGAGCTCTCCTGGAGCTCACCTGGAGCTCTCAAGCCCAGTGCTTTGTAGGCTAAATTAGTTTTTTCCAAGCTCCTCACTGCTGTGGGTTGGGTGGTCACTTACCAGGATGGTTCAGGCAGTCCCACACTACACTGCTATGCTTTTTTCATCTTTTCTTCCCTCTTAATTATTCCTGCTCCTCTACTTATAGGTTGTCTTGTCCCCTTCAGTGTTGTCTGTGAGCTAAAAGTTGCTTTCTGCTATCCTGAGGGGTAACACAGAGCTCAAAAGATGCAAATACCTCAAACTGTGCCTACATGGAGACCTTTATTCTGCTCTCCTCAGCCATAAACATGAGTGACTTTAACACACTCACATTTCCAGCTGATGGAACAGTGGCTGAGTAGTTCCCATAGAGGGTGAATTAAGGCTTTTGAAGGGGACAGGATCAGATTTATTAATGTAGGTATCCTGATATAACCTTTCTCTTCCATTACTGGTTCTTGTGAGTCTTTCTGTCCGTCCACCTTTCTTTCTTCCTTCTTTCACAATAAAAGCAGGGCTGGGTTTGTGGCCCAGTATATGGCCCACAGGCAGTGATGAAAAACTCTTTTTCATGCTGTTCCTTTCTGCTAGAGCCCTAATAGATGGTTAAAGGTGAGGGGTGAGGATCTTCCTCGTGGTCACACTGACATTATAGTGTAAAACCCTTCAGGAAGATGGAGCTTTCTTCATCCCATGTTTCTAATGTGAGGAACTCTTTGCCTTTTAGTACCAAATATGCCCCAGCAGCGGCAAGACCAACACCACCAGAGCACCATGATGCATCCTGCCTCAGCAGCAGGCCCTCCAATTGTAGCTACTCCACCTGCTTACTCAACACAATATGTTGCATATAGTCCCCAACAGTTTCCTAATCAGCCTCTTGTGCAGCATGTGCCACACTACCAATCTCAGGTAAGAGTCTTTTCATGCACCTGATCCATAAAACCAGAAATAATGAAGTGGCTCAGACCTAAATAGCCCTTTGTGTCCTGTCATGAGTCACTCTGAACAGTTTCTGGGTTCTGGAGCAACCCTTGGGGGTCTTGCAGAGTGCCTCAAAGCCTGGAACAAATTTTAAGGTCAGAACAACTTGTAAGGTCGTAACAAATTCTCAGGACAACTTAGAAGTTGGCATTTATTATTGATACAACTTTCTAGCTCTTTGAAGATTTTCTTTAGGTCACGGCCAGCACATCTCCTAGTTAAAGTGCTCTAAAAATAACCTGTTTGGTGGACTCCTCTTATTTGAAAAGCTTTTAAATATATGTGTACCTGGATAAATATACTATGTCATACCTAAGTTTGCTACATTAGTAGAGTGGCAAAAATTCAATATGCCAATTTTTATCAGTTTCTAGGCCTTAAATTTGGATAATCCCAACAAGTGCTCTGCACTGAAGTAAAGCCGAGTTTGGAACATCGCAGCTGTTTAGATGACACGAGTTTCTTTGTGATGGTTCCCCAGTTAATGTCTGCTTTTTTTTTTTTTTTTCTTTTCTTTTCTCCTTTTGCCTGCAGCATCCTCATGTTTATAGCCCTGTAATACAGGGCAATGCCAGGATGATGGCCCCACCAGCACACGCACAGCCGGGTTTAGTATCTTCCTCTGCAACACAGTACGGTGCGCATGAACAGACACATGCTATGTATGGTAGGAAACGTTTTGTGTTATATGTAACTTTTTAAGTCCTTAAATTGTGCAGGGATGTATTTAATCTCAGCCTTCAAAACATGGGTATCATTCAGTAGATGTGGTTTATGTTTCATAAGCTGATGAGCAAGGCCTTGAAAGCTGAGCCGAGCTGGTTCAGATGAAAACTCAAGTGTGCTGATTTCGGTAGGAGGCCAGTGACCAAGATGAGATTTCAACCTGGGAGCTGCTAAAGAATATCTGCTGAAAAGAAGTTTGTTCAAGTTCTCTTGATGCTCTTGATCCATCACCCCTCGTTTGTTTCTTGATGATAATTAGTACTTGTTTTATTGCAAGGCGATGACCTCAGTTTCAAACTTGACTTTAGTTCTGGCAACTAGTGAAATGCTGTCTTTGATGATACTTACTGGCATTATTAACAGTATGAACTCTGCTGTTTAAGCAAAATAAACCATGTGTTGCTTACCTTTCTTTTTTGGTAAGTCAAGACTAAGTCTATGGAACAGCTCATGTATTGCTCTGACTTTTGACAATTAGTCTCCAGCATTATCAGATGGGCATATTTCACTTACAGTGAAGTGCTGAAAATGTGGGTTACCTTGTGACAAAGTAAAATGTGCAAGAACTTCTAAAGCATTATAAATGTATGATAAATCCAGGCCCAATCTGGAGGAAAAAAAAACACAAACAAAACACCTCCCTGCAAAACATGCTATTGAAAGAGGTAGAGTCAAGGTTGCTAAAGGCTTGGGAATTGTCATAAAATGTCAAAACAGCAGATGGTCTCTTGAAAACATGGCATTTCAATACTTGTTATAGCATCTGAGGAAAAGTTTTATTGGGTCACATATATATTGACTTAGATTCTAATAAAAGATTTTCTGTACCTTTAGACATCTCTGTATGTGTTCGGTGCTTAGTTTTACCCTGATCCTTAATGCAAGTCCATGATGTGTCACGAAAACTTACAAAGTAAGAATCTGGAGTTTAGTGTGAAATGATTTCTGACTTTTAAAAAAAGTGTCTTACCCAGCTGGGAACATCCTGTCAGATCTCTGCAGTGGGATGGTAACAAGAGTTAAGAAACAAAAATAACAGAGAGAAACCTTTTTTTTTTTTTTGACGCTTGGAGGAAGAATTTGAGCTCATTTGTGCTGAAGCTGAAATGGAAGTTACTTGTAGAGATTAATCTTTCTCTCACAGGTCCTTGCTAATTGTATTACTTTGATCTTTTCCACTCTTGTGCTTGAGGTGTCCATGTAAACAGATCTTCTGTTTGCTTTTTCATTAGATTAAATAGAATTCCGATAAAGTGAATGATCAAAGGCTTTCAGACCTTTATTGGTGAAAACTCTCCTCTCAAATTCTAATTAAAATAAAACCAAACATGAGATAATCTGAGGTTTGATTCAGAATGGTTGCATGTGACTCCCTAGCAATTGTGCACCATCCTTATCTTCTGTAATCAGTGGGTTCTACAGCATTGAAGTACAAGCCCCTTCCCTTGGCTGGCTTTGATCAGATGTCTGTATAGTTTTTTCACTGATACTCTAATTTACAACTGTTAGATCTCATTTTGTGTTGGTTTTGCAGCTTGTCTGTTGTAGGTATGTGACTACCTACCAGTGCAAACAACTAAGTTGGGTCAAACTTGAGAATTCTTTGGTATTTCCTTCCATGTAATTAAATATTCCTTTCCCCAGAGCACGTAATTTAACACAAGTGGCTTGTCCTCCTGTGCTCTTTCAAGTAGCTACTTGGTGACTCTTCTACACATTCTCCCACCTTCCAGTAAATGATGGAGCGCTCGATATTTTTGTTACTGAAACCCTTCGACCCAGCTGGATCACGAGCTCCATAGGATACACTTTTTGGGGTGTTTGGTGACCGTGAGTTGAGTGAAATGCACCCTTTAACCCCCCGAGGTGACAGTTACACACGGGATGACTCCTGATGTTCTGCAGCACCGTTTCAGTTCAGATCTTTGCAAGTCTTCCGTGTGCTGAGTGCTTGAAGACCTTGCCCAGATGGACTGTGCTTCCCCAGAGTGTGTCCAGCTGTGACATGTTCACTCCACCTTCCCTCCGTTGATATGTGAACGTTTGGGAAAATGCAGGAATGCCTGAGGTGATAAATCTGAGCTGCTCCTGGAGTCCCTTGCTAAAGAACAACTGGAATCGTTCACATCTGACCGAGTGACTGTGAGAACATATCCATACCTTATGGTCTGTGTTTGGGGCATCTTAAAGTTTACCCACATTTGAACTAATTACACCCATGCACTTTTGGTTCTGGTCCTCTCTTAAAAATAATTTGAAAGCACAGAATAACAACTTCCTGAGAAACAACCACTACTGCTGCTTTTGATTTCTGGAGCGCTTGCTCAGACAGTTTCCCTTTTGGCTCTTTAAAATTGCTATTTGATTTTAAAAAAAAAAATACTACCTATTTTTAACACCTACCCCCCACTGATACCAGGATTTAGGGGGCCATGCTGCCCTTTTAGCTTTCATGGTACTTGGTGCTTGTTTGAGTTAATTCTTGCAAAATGCACTCAGTTTTTTTCCTGCATATGCGGTAAAGAGAAGATGTTTGCAAGGACAGCCACTCTGAGATGTGGGGGTTGGGGGGCACTGCTTATCAACTGTTCTTAAAGGTGTGAAATGTTTTGTGGTAAGATCTGAAACTCCACCTTCACTAATGGTTTGGGACAAGTTGAAAGTCTGTGGCAAATTGTAACAACCTGCCAGCGAAGATAAATCCCGGTTGATGCGTTAACCTTGAAAAGTTTGGGGGTTGTTTTCCTTCCCTGTCTTGTGGAGAGATGGCTGAATCTGAAATCAGTGACCTACACTCGTTGATAAGCACTCTTCCATTTTAAGGAAAAGTATTTTTGTCTGATGCTGTTTAATGGGATGTTCTTGCACTTCTGGGATTTCCTTGCCAGTCGTTCCAGTGTCACAACCCACTGTTGACAAGAGAGAAGCAGAGCATGGTCCCAGTAAATCCAGCTAAACACAGGATGGAGGAGTGTTCAGATCATTGGGTTTTTCCCCTCCAAACACAGTGGGGAAGCACAGTGTCCAAGCAGCCTCTTCCCAGCCAGTCTGTGACACAGTTCAGCTCCACAGCCATCCTTGTCCCGGGAAGTTTGCAGTGCTGGAGCAGAGCAGTGCACGCACCTTTACCTGCCACACTCACCCCCCTGAACGTGGAGGTGTTGTTCTTACCCTGCTCAGCTGTTGGTTCCAGAACGTTCTGTGTGTCTGTCTCGCAGCTGTTGGCTCTGTGTGGCCTCCCAGTGCCCCTGGTGTGGGGCTGGTGGAGTTGTTGGCCGTGGTTTGCAGTTTGGTTCCTTGGTGTGTCACACAAAGACCAAACCAGTCTCCTGCTGCTGGTAGAAAATGTGGTTCTCCAAGTAAAGGGTAGATCTGTCCATACTTGTGTTAGTTCTCCATGTAGCTGAACTGTTTCCAGATAACTGCTGGAGTCCTCTGAAAAACTTGACTTTGTGTTTAAGAACTTGTGTAAAGCCAGGCCTTGGTTTTACACAGATGCATTTCCTGTTTTCTGTGCTCTCATTCCTGTCCCCATTCTCCCTTCCCCTTTCCCCTTCTGCATATGTTTTACTGGTCTGGTGTTGTCTCTAACTTTATCTGGTTTCTGTCTCAGCAGTAGAGTAAATTCTATTACCCTGATAGTACAATGGTGGATAAAATATAAACTTCAGAGGATTCTCCAGGGACTAAGAGTGAACCAGTCACCAAAGGTGTCTTGGAACGGTTCAAAATGACAGTGCTATAGGTGAAAAAGCAAGGGGCCAGTTTCTGCTTTAGTGTAATTACATTTTAACCTTCTTATTACAGTGGACTGTAAGAGACCATGAATTGCCTTAAAGTTTATTTTTGTGTTAATTAAGAACTGCAGACCTCAGTGTCACAGTTAAGAAGGAAGGCTTACTTGAGACTTGTGTTTCATCTCCACTCATTTGTAAAATTAAGTATCTAACTCTAATAGCACCTAAGTAAATAAATTATCTGCATGGTTCTACAGTCTTAAAAAAAAATAAATTTAAAAATACCTAAAACTGACACTGACCTTTCCAGAGGACGGGAAGTATGCACGTGGCAAGAGGCTAATTTACCTTTCTATTTCCCAAATTCAGCATGTCCCAAAATACCATACAGCAAGGAGACAGGCCCTTCTTTCTACTTTGCCAGTGAGTTGGGTTTTTTGTACTAATTTTGATTGTACAGAAAAGCACTTTCTAAAGAACCAGATGTTAAAGGAATGGGACGTGTTGAGGGAAAAATTTCCTTGCACCAAACCAGGATGTGGAAAACGCAGGAAGGTTCCTTTCAGTGGACAGAGGGTGAAGCTGGTGGACAGATTTGTCTGATCACAGGGAACTGAGCTGTCAATTTTTTTAAAAATTTATTTGGAATTTGGAATGATCTCTGAATTCACTACCCAGTCTTTTCATCTGCAGCCAGAAGTGAGCTCTGTTTGGGGAGGCAGAAGGAATTCTTGGCTGTGAGGGTGGGGAGGCCCTGGCCCAGGTTACCCAGAGAAGCTGTGGCTGTCCCAGCCCTGGAAGTGTCCAAGGCCAGGGTGGACAGGGCTTGGAGCAACCTGGGCTAGTGGAAGGGGGTGGGACTGGATGGCCCTTAAGGTCCCTTCCAACTCAAACCACTCTATGATTTTATAGCCTCTGATTTTTAAACATCAGCTTCCTAAAAGGAGAAGTATCTTGTGCCTCACCTCTTTAAAAAGCTGTGGCTCAGGTTCTGAGCCCCTGGGAGGAAATAACTGTAGTTGCAGCTGAGCTAAAGGAAATTTTCTGTAGAGCTGCCTCTGCAGGAGTGCTGGGAACAGCTTTGTCATGACTGTGTGACAGTGACAAGATGAGTTCTCCTTGCTGAGGCACCTCCTCCTGGGCACAGGAACATGAGCAGTGATGTTTCCTGGCTCAAGTCAGGCTTTGCCACCCTAAGTCACTGTCAGCAAGGGGAGAGGGGCTGATGTTCTCCCAGCAGACTGATCCAGCTAATCCAGACTCAGTGTGTGTCCAGGGAAAGGCTGAGAACTGTAAAACACTGCCTTGTGTGTTGGTGTCCATCATCAGCTTTGAGGGGGTTGGATTTGGGGGGCTGTTTGCAGGATGAACTGTCACCCAAGACATGGTGAAGAAGGACCTGCAATCCCAGAGTGTTTTGTCCCTGCTCCTGTCCTGCTGTGAGACTTGTTGCTGTGTCTGTCTGCAAGTCCATCAGCCCATGCCAGGATCTCTGTTGGTTTTTTTTCTGCAGCAGCAGCAGCTCATACAAGAGGGATGTGAGAAAATCCCCTTGTTCCCCCAAAATCTCTTCTGGAACAGACTTCCTGTGTTTGTCGTGCCAAAATGTGCTGCCTGAGCAGGGGCTGGAGGTGCTGACCTGTCCTGTGTTCTTGGCTCTTGGTTTGGTGCACTGAAATCACTTGAATCAGCTCGTTCCTTTCGTGGCTAATCTTTGGAGTCCACTCCACCTGTGTAAAATGACTTCTTGAAATGTTTGTATTGTGAAAGAAACATTTGCTATTTCTTTGCTTCCTACCATTCAGGTCTTTTAAATGTAGTTATCCTCACCATCTTACTGGCTCTGGCAATAGGTTGGAAGTTTTTTTCACTGGTCAGTTCTTGAAAATAGGCTCTTCAGTGCATCTTTGGACCGTGACCAGCGCTGACCACCATTGGCACCACTGAAATTCCTACCAGGAAAAAAAAGAAAATTACATGATGTGGTTTTCATATGCTCTTGTAGCTGGGAGTTCTGCCTGATTCCTGCTGCTCTGACCTCTTTTGATTTCAGCTCCTCCTGTGGCTTCTGTGGCTGACTCTACTTCTTGTTTGCCTCTCAGAGAAATGGGTGCACTTGACAGAGCTAAATTCACTAATTAATCCATGTGGTATTTTTTTCCCATTCCATGACTGAATCGCTTTCCTTCAAGGTTAGTGCAGGGAAATGCTTCATTTTAGGAACCAACTTGATTAAAAAGGTGCAGAAGCGAAGCAGGTCAGCCCAAGGAGAGGCATTTAGGCATAAAGGGTGAGAAAACCAGTGTGTTTGTACTGGAGTGAGCTGAGGTGACTTGCAAGGAGCTGGTTTGACCCTTCCAAGAGCTTCCTCAGCACTTTCTTGGATACTGGATGGCCATTTGGAAAATCTCCAAAATACTGACAATTAGGGGAAAACATTGGATAATTGGTTATTAATTTTTTATTATTCTTTTTTCTCTTCCTGTCTTGTCTTATTTGCTGTTGGATATGTGCAGGGAGCTGTTTGGATGACCAGGCAGAAATTCTTTTTAAAAAAAAAAGCCCCAGTGCCAGTTCAGTTCTGGCTGAGCAGGTGAATTTGTCAGGACTTTTACAGGACTCCTTTCCCAGCCCTGCTGGTCTCAGACATTTCATGGGCTTGCCAAGAACTGTCACTTGCTAAACATGGAAAAACCCTTACCCTGCTGGAATTGCAGTTGGAACTCTGGTTTTGAACTGCCAAAGATCTGTGAATGCATTTCAGACCTGGTGCCACTCGGCCTGTTCTTGGTTTGTTTGCAGTGTCTGCACAGGATTTAAAGAAGGGCCCAAATAACAGTTTTGAAAGGCACTTTTAATATCACTATTAAAACATAATTTGCAGCAGCATCTGAAGTGGTTTTAAGCTTGACACGTTTGGTTATTACAGTCATCTGTTAAAGACAAAATGGGGGTAGGAGAGAAATTAGGGAAATAAATATTCTTCAGTATAAAAAATGTGGTGCTTCAAATGCAAAGCTGTGGATGAAATATTAGGTGGTTATGGAAGAGCTGCCACTGTGACAAAAACTTGATCCTCCTCCTGCTTTACATCTGTTCTTCAGGGTGCTGTTCCTTGGTTTAACTGGTTTCTTGAGAGAGAAATTCCTCCTCGTGCAGTTTTATTGCAGAATGTATCCAGTTCAGAATAACTGGGTTTATTATTCTCCTGGCTATAAAGGGCTGAAAGATGAATTGCACAAATGGTTTAAGGGAGCCCCACGTTCTTTCAGGGGCTCTTAACAAGGGATGTGGGAAGCCTTGAATATCTTACAACTTGGAATTAAATTTCATCTACATTTTAAAGCCTCTTGAATGGAGTTGGAGTTAATTTGCAGTCAGCTCTGTGGCTCAGGCAGTGGGAGGATTGCTGGTGTAACATGCCCTTTGGCAAGCAAGTAATCTCTCCTTGCATTTATTTCTCTCACTTTGGCAGAGATAATAACTTTTGGCCTTTTTCAGAGCGTGTATAATAACGAGGTTGAGGTATTTTCCTCCTGCAGGAAGCCATAAACTTCATATTGTAAAAATGATCGGTGTTGCCATTGATAATTTTCATGTTATTGTAAGGAGAGATGTCTGAGAGTCAAGTAGGAGCACGGTGGGGATGCTGCTGCAAAATACATTTTAGTAGTGATAGGAAAAACTAAAAATACTTGGATTTAAAGCATAACAAAGTGCCGTGGCAGAAGATCCTGCAGTTTTGACAAGTGTGCTTAGAAAATATTGAGGTGTTTTTGAAACCCCCTCTCAATCAGAGATGCTCAGAGTGTACGACTGTGCCTGTACACTTGGATAAGTATTTTAGGATCAGTTCCAGACTGCAGGAATTGAGTTCATCTGCATTAATAGCCTGAAACTGCACATCACTGTTGGGCCATTTGCTCAGTGAAGATTTAATAGAGCTTTCAAGGGATTAAGTTAAATGTGGCAGGCAGTTATTTTCTAAAGGAGGAACCTTCCTAATGCACCGTACCGGGGAGAAAAAATCTCAATTAGGCAAAAAGATACCATCTCTATATATATATTCTGGTGAATTTGAATTTGTTAGAACTAGGATTTGTAAGAGTTATGGCAAGGCAGACCTGGAGGAAGGCAGGTATTTGCACAGGGTGGAGTGTCAGGGCTGTGACAGAGCAGTTGGAGACTTGCTTGTGCTGGGCATTGTTGTGCTTTCAGATGCAGCTGCATTTTAGTTCGTTGTTTCCACCCATCTTGTCTCTCATCTTTTATCTACACCCAGACAGTTCTGGTTGTTATGAACTTAAGAGCCCAGCCCAGTGAAGCTCTTCAGAAATTCCCTGCAGGTGCCCTGATTTTCAGGTTTGTTTATTAGGGCAGGAAAACCCCACTGGAAAAGCCATCCCTGCTAAAGGTGCTTCAGTGGCCATCAAGTTCTCATATAATACAAACCCCATGAAAAAAAACCGTAGACAATTATTGTTAGTGAACTTCAGAACAGCCAAAAGGTACTAAAGGAAATAAGAAGCAGCTGCAGGGAAAATTCAGGAGCAGGTTGATAGTTGTCTTTGACTGTTTTCTCAGTATTGTTAGCAGAACTAACCTTGGTCTTTTCAAGCTGTGACATTGGAGGGCTCAGTGCCCATTGTCACATGCTGCAGTGGAGCTGCAGACACGGACTGGTTGTTGCACAAGATCACAAAGAAATAGAGGAAAGATCTTTTTTTTTTTTTTAGGATCTTGCTCTCCTGTTGCATCCTTTGTGTTTAAAGGAGCGCTTGCTGTCATCATGGCTTTTCATACTTCCTTGGATTCCCTCAGAAGTTCAAAAAAACCCAAAAAAACAAACAAAAACACAACAATTTAGTGTGGCCTGTTTTGGAGCAGAACAGAGCAGGATCCAAGGAGGAACTTGTTGCTGTTGGTTTGTTGTTGGAGACTGGCACGGCCGTGGCAACACGGGTGGCTTCACTGGGGTGAAAGTTTCGTGTCGTTCACTTTCTTCCTTTTTGGGAATTTTGTACCTTATTCGCTACCGTTTCAAGGAATGAAGAATTCCGTGGCAGTGTTAGAAGCTCCCAGGATGGTGCTGATCCAGAACAGCCTGATTGGCCTTGAGGGCAGAGGCCAGATGTGTTATTTTAGCACGAGAAACTGGCTTCAACTGCGGTTTGATGCTCGAGCAGCCTCAGTTTTCTCAGCTGTGATGTGTTCCCTGGGTGTCCCCGGAGCTCTCGAGCACAGAGTTTGTACTTTATGAGCAATTTCCAGAAGAGTAGCATGGTGAGGTTAGCCAGGTATAAGGCCAAAGACTTTTTTTGGATGGTGGAAATAAAAATGACTCGTAACACCTCTGAAAAGTATGTTTCAGGAAATCCTAAATTGTATGAAAATTACAAATTTGGTCTTTGAAACTGGTCTGTTTGACAAAGCAAAAGATGAAATGCTGCTTTTCTCTATGTAGTATCTGTTACATTGTCAAACTAGGGAAGATGAACTGTCTAATTATGGTTATTTATAGACTTTCCTGCCAAACCAAACTACACAAAAGCAAGGTAAGATCCTCAGCTATTCGCAAGATAAATATTTCGGTTTAGAAGGGGGTGGGGAGCGTATTTACAGTCTTTTGGAGCTGTAGTGAAATCCTCAAGTGCAGGTGGTGACTTTGTGAGGTGCCTGTCCTCTCTCTCAGGTGTTAAATATCCTTCTTTTTCATCCTAGTTTCCACTGGCTCACTTGCTCAGCAGTATGCCCACCCTAATGCTACCCTGCATCCGCACCCTCCTCATCCTCAGCCTTCTGCCACACCGACTGGCCAGCAGCAAAGCCAACATGCTGGAAGCCACCCTGCTCCCAGCCCCGTGCAGGTAACGGGCTCAAACGGGACTGAATGGCTTGAAATGGGGTTTAATTGTGTTCCAGTGATTGCTCTGCTGATGAAGGGATTGCGGCTTGATGTCGATGTGGTGATTTTTGGGGGTTTTTTTGAGGGGGGGGAAAAAGGGTTGGATGGAGCAGTTCAGAGTCCTCCCTGTTCCCAGGGATGGGGTATAGCTTGGTCCGTGTTGGGATTAAGGAATGATCATAATTATGTCTTTGATGTGAGTGGAGTGGAAATAGTAGATAAATGCTGAGAAGTGTTTGGTTGTGTTTTGTCAAGGACAAGCAGCTGAAAACAAAATGGTCCTTGTGGTAGTGCTGCTTTCCTTAATTCCTACTGGGAATAACTGGGCAGCTGTGAGGCACATGCAGTTCCATGGCTGCAGGTTCTCCTTGCTTTTACCTGGCAGTCTGGGTTTTTTTTGCCAGACTCTTGCTCACAGGTCTTCCTAGAGCATGGGGTATCCCAGAATCACAGGATTGTTTGGGTTGGAAAAGACCTCTGAGACCATCAAGTCCAACCATTAACCCAGCACTGCCAAACCCACCACCAAACCATGTCCCTGAGTGTCACATCCACCCATTGTCCACATTTTTAATAATCCTCCTTAAAAATGAGAGGGTTTTGTGCTCAGCAGTTCTCTAAAGTGATGCATGACCCATATCCTCTGACAGCCTCAGTATTAACTGCAAGTCTTGAAGACAACCCTCATTCACTCTGAGATCACTGGTTTTTCTCTAGACTAACTCCCATGAATACCTTCTGCATCAACCAGAAAACTCATGTCTAGTTTCCCCTTAAACAGTTTTTAAAATTAATAATTATTAACTGTTCTGAATCGACGCTTCCCATTTCCATTTGAGCCCTTCCAACCCAAGTGATCCAACTGGAGCACAGAGAACCATCTCTGTCCTGAGCACCAGGCTGGGGGAGGAGAGAGCTCTGCACTTGCACAACGTGGCACATCCAAACTCGAGTTTGATGAGCCTGCTGGGATTGGAATGAGCTTCCTCACGCCCAGAGGTGTGGTTTCCTCAGGACCAGAGGCGTGGTGGTGATCCTGAGATTCTCCACCGATACTGAGAGCAGTTTCACCCCCCTTCCTCATGGTAGCTGACAGGATAGATCTGTCTGATTTCTGAGGCATAACCTGAGTGCTCTCCTGTGTTTTGTTTTTTTTTTTTGCAGCACCACCAGCACCAGGCTGCCCAGGCACTCCACCTGGCCAACCCCCAGCAGCAGTCGGCGATTTACCACGCAGGTCTAGCTCCGACCCCTCCTTCCATGACGCCAGGCTCCAACACGCAGTCTCCACAAAATAGTTTTCCTACAGCACAACAAACAGTCTTCACCATTCATCCCTCCCATGTTCAACCTGCATATACCAATCCGCCACACATGGCCCATGTCCCCCAGGTAAACACAGTTTAACAACCTTCAAGACTTAAATGTCTTAATGCCACAAAGATTAGGACAAAAGTCGGGCCTGCTGAAGTGATTTCCATTCTTGTCACCTCTCAGCGCAGACTTACCTGTTGTTGTTCTTTAGGTTTCTTGTCTGTACATTGCCTTTATTTAGAGTTTGACGAGATGTTTGGACCTCAGCTTCCAACACCTAGTGCATCTGCAACTGTAGTTTAATGAAGACATCTTAAGCTGGCACTGCTACCGAAATAAATTGAGCTCCATTCCCAGTTCCTGGCTCCCATCCTTGTCCCTGCCCCACCATCCTGCTCACGGGACCGTTTGGCCACGCAGCAAACCAGGCTGGGGACACGATCCATGAAATGTGCCTCTCCTACCCCCCCCTTTTAGGCTATTTCTTGGCAAATCAGTTCACTGCTCAGGTGCATGACCCCAGCAAGGGCTGGCATACAGAAAGGTTGGAGAGCTGAGTGCAGGAAGGCTGAATTGCTGCTTTTGGTGGCAGTTGTAGGCTCTGCATTGTAGACAAATTTATCTAAGTACATCCAGAAAAGGATATTACACAGATTATTAGGGAATATGCAGTGGGAGGGAGGTGAGGTTCAGTTCAGGTGACTGCAGGACAATCCTTGCAGAATGAAAACCCTGAGTGTGTGTGTCTGTGGTTCTAAATGAACTGCTTATGCAGAAGATCCCCAAAGATTGTTGAGCAGCTTAGTGACAGTCCTTGATTCAGAATCAGAAATCCCCTTCTCTAACTGCTCTCTTGTGGTCAGCTTACTAAGGGAAAAAAAAAGGATTTGGGAGGGGAAGCACATGATTGATTAATCAAGAGCTCCATATAAAGCAGTGTTGCAGAGATTTCCTGATATTTACTAAATCTCCTGGATTTAGTGTCCTTTGTCAAGGAATGGACAGTTAAATGGACAGTAATTTCCCTGCACAATTTCTTCTTCAGACCAAGAACTTGGTGTCTAGCTTCTGCCTTCTCATGCAGGTTATCAGTAGTTTTGGGATCTGCTGGCTGACTGTGATTAGGGAGGTTTGTCCAACAGGTGTCCAGTCCCTTGCAGAATTCTGATAAAACCTTTGCTTTGGTCCCTGGGACAGTCAGTTAAGCCAATAAATGAATAGTTACTTAGGAGTTGTTTTACTGATGTTGAGTGTTTAGCTTTTTGATTCTTTTAGGCTTTTAATTTCTCTGCTTTTTGGGGGAGGATGAGGAGAGGATGTCCAAACTTGGTAATCTTGCCACGTCCTCCCAGGCTCTGGTTTCTGCCAGAAACAAGACTCCTGCTGTGCTCTGGTGTGATGGCACTGCTGTGAATGCCTGGGCTGTGTGTGGAGCTTCTCAGCAGGGTCTTGGCTTAGGGACACGTTCAGTGTCTTACCTTGAAACGTGAAACACGTTTGGTTCAAGGACACTTCAAGGTAAAGCTGTACCTGAAATGTGCTGTGCACGCCATGGCCAGGCCCATGGATGCAGGATGTGACCATGGCCCTCCTTTCTGTGTGCCAAGCACTTATCCAAACCAAATTAAGCATATCAGATGCAACTTTGAGTCAGAACTGCCTGCTCAGGCAGGATTTTTAGCAATCACAGGCAAATCCTGCTTTGCCCTTGATTTTAACTTCTGCAGCCTCTTCTGTGATTTTTTTTTAGAATGAAAACTACAATCTATAATCTGTGATATTTACACCAAACTAATTGACTTTCCCAATGAAGTAGTTCCCTCAGAAGATCTCTAGTGAAGGAGTAACTACAGTTCAGTCAGAAGTTTAAATGCATGTAATTATTCCATCGTGGGGAAACCAATCACCGGCTTGAACAGTTTCTTATCAGCCTCATTTCCAGCTTCTAAACACAATCCTGAATAACCACATGGTAAGAATTCCAGTCAGGCCAACGCAGGGGGATCAGTCCAATTTCCCTGTAGGTTATCAGATGAATCTTGAGCTGGTAGATATCTCACTTGAGAACCAGTACTTTAAAATTCATTAGAGAGTTCTGTCAGCTGCCAATTTGCTAAATGTTTGAGCCACAGCAGAAAAATTCTCCCCACTGTGTGTGTCTTGACTCCAGCTGAATAGCTGCTCTATAATGATGCTCCTCCAATAGCATGTTTGTCAAAGTCAACGTGGAGCCAGCCCTGGGAGGTATTTCTGTTCCACAGCCTGATCTTCTAAACCTTTTTTTTAGAGCAAGAGTGAGATTTGAATTGCAGTTCCTGCCTTTAAAGGCTCCTGGAGTGCTACTAACATGTGCAAATCTGATAAAAAGAGTTTGGGGGAATGTCTGTGATGAGTCAAGTAACCCTTTTGTCTTTAAGAAATAAAATTCTGGCCACTACCTGCTATCTGTCTTTACTGGCATGGGAGACTTGTGAGGCTGCACTTCTGGGATGTGGTAGAAGGACAAAGCAAACCTTAGGTACAAATGGTGTTTTTTGGGGGCTTTTTATTCCCCCAAGAGAAATCCACTGAGAGCTCTGAGTTCCTTAATATTTTGTGCTTTTAAGAAACTAGTGCTTGCTAGGTTTTTTTTACCCCAAAAAGTTAATGACCTGTAGAGACCTTAAGAACCCACCAAGTTCCTGAACGTGCTTGCCAGAGGTGATGAACCGTTGGGAGAATCAATCTCCTTTTTCTGCTGAGACTTAGCCCTGCTTGCTCAGATCACACAAGAACTGTGATGAGCTGAACTGGAAGCAGAACAAAGGGATGGAATCACTCCTCTCAGAAGGACTTTGCTGAACAATGTGTGGGCACAGGTCACTGGAGAGGAGAGCAGAGGAGAGGGAGGTTCCCAGGGCAGGGAGCCAGGAGGGAATGTGGGGTTGTGTAAGGAGAGCTGGGGAAGGGATGCCAGACTCCCAGTGCCTGTGCAGTTCCTGTCTGTACCCTCTAGGAAGTGCTTTGATGTAGGTGACTAACAGAAATGTTTGGAAGATTTGTTGCTGAATTGTTATTTTTATTTTTATTTTTTTTTTTAATATTCCCCTGTTAAACACTGGCAAAATGGCTAAAACTGAGACTGTGACTCCGAGCCAGCACTAAGAATTCGAGCCCTGTTTTTTTAATTATCATTTTTTCCTTTTTGTTGTTATTCCTTTTTTTTTTTTTTTTTTTTTTTATGTTCGAACCTGCCTTAAATCCCTTTAAACGGAGTAAATCTCTGGATTTTTCTCAGCCGGAGGAGAGAAAACTTTTCGCCAGTCATGTGGCCAGGAGTTGCTGCCTCCTTGTGACCATGATACTAAAGAGCTCTTTGTTTCAGGCTCATGTACAGTCAGGAATGGTTCCTTCTCACCCAACTGCCCATGCTCCAATGATGCTAATGACGACACAGCCTCCCGGTGGTCCCCAAGCCGCCCTCGCTCAAAGTGCACTACAGCCCATTCCCGTCTCGACAACAACACATTTCCCCTATATGACGCACCCTTCAGGTGAGGAGTGTGTGCCCGGGACACCTGCACCCTAAACTGAGCCAGGGCGGAGGATCAGGACTGGGACAGACCAGATTTTGGGGAAAAAAAACCAACCAAAAAAAAAAAA